GAACAAAGTGAAAATGACACTTTTATTTTATTAATTGAATTTCACATGAGTGAAAATTTAGTCTTTTAATTTTAAAGTGACAAATTCATGACTTATGGTTTTAATGAAACTATAACATGAAGAACTCAATTTCTCATTTTGCTAAGAACTTAGGGCGTAAAATTATACCCGGCCTCAAATAATTAAATGATTAAATATATAAATTTGCCAGCTTTAATTTTGGCGTTGAATTATTATTTTTGAGCTTTATAAATTAATAAAATTTTAAGGGTACTTTAAAATAATATCATATTCAATAGGCGTCATGACTCATGATTCTTTTAGTAGTGACTCTGTTATATTGCAGTATCTGTTCATAAGTATTTTCTCAACCTACTGAAATAAAAAGTCAATATCGTCACCACTGAGGCTCGAATCCATAACCTCTCATATGAAGAGCAACTTGGTGCCATTCGACTCCCGTACAGTACGAGTAGAAAATTAAGGGGCAACATTTGCACTATGAGAGTGGCAATATATGTACCATTTTGAAAATTGAGGGGTAACATTTACCCCACTAATAATTCAGGAATGACATTGATAATTAACATATTATGGAGGGGCACAAATTACAATCTAATTATAAACTTAGCCTTTTATTTGAGATAGAGCGCATACACATTTTAATTTGATATCAGAACAAACTCCACACCAAAAGTCATGTGTAATGTTAAAGAGTCTAGTTGTATCACATATCATAATTTAATTCGATGTAGAAAAAACATATGTGATCTTTCTTTTTCAGTGTCATGTCAGGCCGTCTAAATGAAGTAAGAAAAGAATAAGAATAAGTGTGTATTAATGAAGATGGCGGTCTTGTGGGGCAAACTAGGAGATAGCGAATTGCTCGTGGAAATTATGGGACAAGATCCCTCGAGGACCACCATCTTTTTGAACTTCAAACATAACCAAGAAAAATAATTAATATAATATTGCTGGCTCCACCATTGAACAAGACTACATTGCTTGCTCCTTTATAAGATTGATTGAATTTGTTACATTTTAGAGGTATACAAGAGAAGGAGAAAGAGTACGTTAAAGTGAGAATCATTATGAGGGCCGCCGGAAAAGAAATAGTAGTGGCGACTGTGCTGATGATGATGAGCTTCACAGTGATGCTCACTTTGGCAGCAGAATACGAGATACCGTTGGACGACTACGACGACAGATACTATGATGATGAAGCTGAGAACTACAAGGAAGATGGGATATCTATGGTTCCAAAGGGTTGTCGAGACACTTGCGGCAACGTTAGCATTTACTACCCTTTTGGAATTGGACCCAGCAAAGATTGTTATTTAAACAAATGGTTCCTCATAAATTGCACCAAATCCTCCTCCGATGGTGTCGAGAAACCTTTCTTGAGCTCCTTTTCTGATGGCAAGAATGGGGTAAGAGAGATTCTGAGCATTTCCAATGTAAGACAATCAATAATAATGAAAGAGTCGTTTTCTCCTCTCTGCCATACCACCGCCGGGTCCGCCGTGGGAAGCAATAATCTCTCCATAATTAGCAACACAAAATTATCTGGAACCCCATTCTTTTACTCTTCCAGTTACAACAGGTTCATGTTTTATGGTTGCGGCGGCGCTGTCCTCACTACGCCCGGTCAAGAATTCACAATGGCCGGTTGCAAGTTGAGTTGCAGCAGCAATAACACCACGGCGGCACCAAAATTTGCATATGATTGCAATGGCATAAACTGCTGCGATCTTAGTTTTGACTACGATGTAAATGCATACCAAATCGACATCACAGATTCATCCATCGTCAACAACGCCTGCAACTATGCCTTCTTTCTTGCTACTGGTGATGATTTTACTACTACTTCTTCCCGATTGAGCCTTCAAAGGATTAGCAACCTGCTGCCGGAAGACAAGCTGGTTGTCCCGGTGGTTTGGAGGTGGAGCGTCACAAGAGACGACTTGAGTTACTTGCCCCCCACCTACTCACGCGACTGCGATCGATATGAGAAAATCTTTCCTCCGCAATTACGAGGGACATATTGGAGCTGTAGCTGCAAATTTCTGGAATACGGTAACGCTTACTTACCAAATGGATGCCAAGGTACGTCAACTTTAAATTAGAAAAAAAAAAAAAAAAAAAACATATAAATTATACTGAAATATATTTAATCTTTAACCTTACTTTTGAACATGAATTGTATTCTATTGTTTAGTTAGATGAAGGAATAGACTTTGAATTATATTCTAGTGTGGGTTGGTTAAAAAATAGAAATATATATATATATATATATATATATATATATATATATATATATATATATATATATACCTTCGGTGAGCCGTAATCAAATCTAAATCAACGACTTAAATCAATGAAAAAAAAAAAAAAAAAAGCATGTTTGTAAAGGATATTTTTGGTATTGTAATGCAAAAGCTATTCCCCGAGAGCAGGAAATAGTTTTTGGGTGCGTGTGTGAGAGAAAAAGTTAGACACAGAGAGATATAAAATTATTATTATTATTATTATGATTATTATTATTATTATTAAAGAGTTAATTAAGAATAATTCAAACATAAACGAAGATACACGTGTATATAATAATAATAATAATAATAATAATAATAATAATAATAATAATAATAATAATAGTTAGTATTATTATTATTATTGTTGTTGTTGTTATATATATATATATATATATATATATATATATATATATATATATATATATAGGCTCCGGATCCCATGAGGTCACATAGTTAGATGGGTGTATGATATCTAATCATATCCATTAGATCAATAATTATTTAATGGTGAGATTGAGTAAGAATTTGTATTGATTCTAGGAGATAGAATAGTCATAAGGGTGAATAAGTAATTGTATTCTAATAAGTATTTATGGTGAGAAATTATATGGAATATATTCCATGATTATCATCCGATTTTTTGTGATTCTAATATATATTAGCGGTAATGTAGTAGTATTGCTATTGTGATGATTCTTAAACGCAAGCCATCCCCATAGAGTTCGTCGGAGCAGCGGCTGTTCACAACATCGAGCTCAGAATGGAGGCTCCGGCCATAGGTATGTGCATTTTTTATTTTATTTTTTTTTTTATTTTTGATTTTGTGAAAACATGTCTGTGCATCATGTATTGAATTATTGTTTGTTTTCTAGTTTGTACTTATATCAAGTTGCTTAAGTGCGCGAGACCTCCATTGTTTTTCAGGTATATTTTTTTTTTTTTTGTTTTTTTTTTGTTTTGGTGTTCCGGTACATTCGTTTTGTGCATTAACCACGTAGTATAGATGGTGAATGTGTTGTGTGCGAACTCGTATCCAGGTTTGTGCAAGTGACGAACTTATTTTTTTTTTTATTTTTTTATTTTTTTATTTTTTGTTTTTGTGAAAACATGTCTGTGCATCATTTAGTGAAGTGTTGTTTGTTTTCTAGTTTGTACTTATATCAAGTTGCTTATGTGCGCGAGACCTCCATTGTTTTTCAGGCTTGGGTTTTGTTTTTTTTTTTTTTGGTAGTCCGGTTCAGTCGTTTGTGTGCGAACTCGTCTCCAGGTTTGTGCGAGTGACGAACTGCATTTTTTATTAACGGTGTTGAGATACTCGCGTGTATTTTGGTTTATTAACGGTGTTTGTGTGAACTACGTCCGTATAATGTGTGATTCCTTAGGCGTATTAGTTTAGTTTGCGGTAGTTGATTTGTTAATGCAATGCTGGCATCATTCACATGTATATCAAAAATAATAGGGAAGTATTGATTATTATTGTGTTTGTGTTGCTTTATAAAACTGTATCACGGGTAGTGTACTTTATGTGCATACATGTATAATTTAAAAACGGTTATTCGTGTATTAACAGCAGTCTGTGCCGTAAGTGGATGAGAACTTGTGCAATGTGGGTTTTGGGTTGTTGCAAAATAAGTAATTAGCATACGAAGAATAGTTTATAACCACAGAGGCCTAGAGTAATAATTTTGTTCGATGAGCAAACATTCCCAGTCGATTATTATGAACATTGATACGAAATGTATGTTACAGGTGTGGGCAGTGAAGACGAAGTCAATGCAAGTGAATCAGACAACGATTGTAGAATGGATATGAGCCCGGGAGGTACGAATTATTGGTATACAGAATGCGACCGTAGTCTGAAACCATATGAAGGTCAAATGTTTAACGCACTAGAAGATGGAATCAAATTTTATACAATGTATGCCGCATCTACCGGATTTGATGTGCGCCGAAGTTCGGATAAAAAGAACGATTTTGGTATCGTTCTGAAAAAGGATGTTGTGTGTTCGAGGCAAGGTTTTAAGGAGGATAGGGGCAAAGAAACAATGGGTGAAGCAGGGGGGTCAAAGAAGAAGAGAAGGCGGACTACTAATAGAGTTGGTTGCGGCGCAAGGATTGTAATGAAGATAGTCCCCGACGGGCGATATACGGTACACAAATTTGAAGAACGACACACCCATTGCCTGTGCCAGGAAAGCCAAAAACCACTTATGAAAGTTAATCGCAAAATAGAGATTGCACACCAAGAATTCATAACGAAGTGCGAAAAAGCAAACGTTGGTGCAAGCAAAAGTTACGACATATATGCCGAGATCGTAGGGGGGCCTCAGAATGTTGGTGCGACGCAACAGGACTTCAAGAATTACAGAAGGGATCTATTAGCGTACATGAAGTGGGGAGATGTGCAAATGGTTATATCAAATTATCTTGAGCAGAAAACAGATTGTGCTGACATGTACTTTGAGTACGAAGTGAACGCAAATGACCAATTGTCTCGTGTATTCTGGGCGGATGGTATGGCGAGGAAGAACTATGGTGCGTTCGGCGACGTGGTATCCTTTGATGCAACATACAAAACAAATAGGTATGAGAAAGTTATTTTAAATAGATGATTGCGTAGATTTAAATTCGTATATTGGAAGTACGCACCCGGACATTCAGCAGAATGTACGCATAATATATGAGTGTGTTGATTTTCTTGGCATGTCCTATGACTCCCAAACAATAACAATTAAAGAGTCTATCTCTCCTTCCTGTCAGGGAAGCAATAATTTCTCCAATATTATCCACAACTCAAAATTATCTGAAACCCCTTTTATGTACTCAAATGACAACAACTTCATGCTTTTTGGTTGTGGAAACGCTTTCATCACTATGCCCGGTGAAGAATTGGATCAACCTGGTTACAACTTAAACTGCAGCAGCAAAAACACCACAGCACCTAAAACTGCACATGATTGCCAAGGCATAAACTGCAACCATCTTACTGTTGATTACGACGTAAACACATACCAAGTCAACTTCACACATTCTTCATCTTTCAACGCTTGCAACTATGCTTTCTTTCTCAGTGCTTCTTCTTCTTTACCACCTACCCTTCAAAGCCTTCCAAGCAGGCAGCAGGAAATGGTAGTTGTCCCGGTGGAGTTGAGATGGACCATCACACAAGAGGACGTGCCTCCCTCCTACTCTAAGTACTGCTCTCCTTCTACATACATCAATCCCCAACTACAATGGCATAATTATTTGCAATGTGACTGCCCAGGTGGTGATGACAGAAACGTGTACTTGTCCGGTGGATGTGGTATGCATGCTATTCTATTATTTTCTATGAACTACATATAAAATTTGGCTGCCAGCCCAAACTATGCATTCAACATTGTACAGATTTTTTAGTGTCAACAACATCAATTTGCATTTTGGCTGGCAAGGTTGGATTAGTGCTTTGTTGATATTTTGTGTTTTTACATCTTGCAGAATGGAAGCACAAGGATTACGTGATTAGTAGTAACAAACTGCGGCCCGCTATTATCGGTAGGCCTATATTATTATCATTCTGTTGATATATTTCCTTGCCCACAAAAGGGGCAATTTCCTCGTTCCTAGAGCACCCAGGTGGCTCAGCGGCTCATTAGGTGAACCAATGTTTGGTGTCTACAATAAGTTCACCGCATTGAATATAACTGCTACACTGTGACTGCTACTAGGGCTCAAATTCTGCATGTGTCTTGGCCTACAATCTAATATCGAGGAACCAACTGAATTGCTCTTGTAGGCTGTTATATGTTTTCTTAGTATCATTTTTTAAAATTCATTTTCTGCAAAATTTTATCATGGGATGGATTGGCCTATTTAGACTGAGAGATACAATATATGGAATGGTGAGGATAAACATGCATACTGATTTTTGTAATAATCCCAGATTACATATATGCATCCATGTCGGTATCAATAATCTTATGGAGATTCCTCTCTTGCATTGCTCAATCTCAGGTATTAGTGCAAGTTTTGGATTTGTGTTCTTAATATGGGCTTTTGTCATCCTCTATAAAGCCATCAAGAAGAGAAAGATGAAGAAATTGAGGCAGAAGTTCTTCAAGCGTAATGGAGGTCTCCTATTACAGCAACAACTCTTAACCAAAGAAGGGACAATAGAGAAGACAAAGATTTTTACAGCAAGTGAGTTGGATAAAGCCACAGATCACTTCAATGCAGATAGAATAGTAGGCCGAGGCGGGCAAGGCACAGTGTACAAAGGAATGTTAATTGATGGGCAAATCGTTGCAGTTAAGAAATCTCAAGCAGTGGATGAGGACCAATTGGAGCCATTTATCAATGAGGTTGTCATTCTTTCACAAATCAATCATAGAAATGTTGTCAAACTCATGGGGTGTTGTTTGGAGACCGAAGTTCCCATTTTGGTTTATGAATTTATACCAAATGGAACACTTTTCGGCCTTATCCATAACAATTTTGACAACGAACTCATTCCCCTTTCATGGGATATTCGTCTCAGAATTGCGTCTGAGGTGGCTTGTGCATTAGCTTATCTCCACTCCGTAACATTAGTTCCCATCTACCACAGAGACATCAAGACGGGTAACATTCTTCTGGACGAGAAATTTCGAGCTAAAGTTTCAGATTTTGGAACCTCAAGATCCATTTCAATTGACAAAACTCACTTCACTACCATGGTGAAGGGGACATTTGGTTATTTAGACCCTGAGTATTTTCAATCTAGCCAGTTCACAGAAAAGAGTGACGTTTACAGCTTTGGAGTTGTCCTTGCTGAGCTCTTGACAGGACAAAAGCCAATTTCATTTGAACTGGATGATGATGAGGATAGGAGCTTGGTTTCACGTTTTCTGTTGTGCATGGAAGAGAACCGTCTCATGGAGATGCTTGATGGGGAAGTTATAGAGCAAGGTAAAAAGGAAGATGTTGTGGCAATGGCTTGGCTTGCACAGCGTTGCTTGAACTTCAACGGGAAGAAAAGGCCTACCATGAAAGAAGTGGCCACGGAGTTGGATGCCATTAAAGCATCTAATTCTCATCTCCCCTTGGCCATGGAAGCATTTGAGATTGAATCAGATTTCATAGCTTAATAAGTTTACTGTTTTAATTTGTTGCGTCTACTTTTATATTCAAGCACACCCGTCTAATAGCATATAGTAGGAGTCATTTTTAGGTGTAGTTTCAGCATATCCTTATATGTAAAATAAAAGTAAAAAATCTATCATTTATGTATATATATCTCATATGTTACTAGAAGATGTATGGTTCTTGATTCTGTTTTTCTTAATAAGAGTCTTGTTATTTTAAGTTTTCATAATTCATGTATTTAGTATCTTCACTTGCTGATCCCTCTAGTCAGGTCACAGTGCAAAAGTAGTTTAATTTTGTGTAATTACTCGAAAAGTCTAAAAATGATTAAAATATTTTCAACACGTAAATTTTTTTTTCTTTTGTTAATTGTGGAGGTGATGATGTCGTCAGAAAGGCATTGATATTGTCTTGATCATTAGTGCGTACTGGTGAATAGAAAAATCAAAATGCTCCAAGAAAAAAGTAGTAAACAAGAAAGAAATGGAAGCACGTACGTCAGCCGGTGGAAATTAAGGGGAAAATAACAAAGAAATTTTAAGTTGACTTGTCCAAGATGGTATACTTAGCTTATAACTAAAAGTAGTTTGGTTTTGGGACAATCCTATCCTTGGTAAATGATAGTTTAACTCTCAATGAAAGTTGTTTATTGACTTTTTTAATTTAAATTGATCAGTTATGGACAATTTAATTTACCTCATTGAGTTCACCTTAAGGGAGTGACGGCTTAAAAAAAAAAAAAAAAAAAAAAAAAGAACTGGCTTTGTTTTCTGTGAGAATGTGAAACGGAATGGTGTTGGGTTGTGTTGGGAAAAATCCCACCTCCTGTGACAAATAAAATCACAGGACCGACAAGAGCGCAAATACAAGATGGTACAAAACAGCCAAAATAAATAACAGACATGGAAAACCCCAAAATTACGGGAAAAAACCACGGACCACCACCAACACAATATTCCAGTATAACAAATCTTGGGTATAAAGTTGCTGGCTACACCTGAGCCAAACACCCTAAAAATCATCAAATACAACAACTCTAGGCCAAAAATCATCAAATACAACAACTGTGGGCCAAATACAATATATCACGTTCACAGGCCTAAAAAGGGATACCAACTCGTACTCAAAATATTCAACCACCACGAGCAAGGTGAATAGAATACAAATATTACGAGATTACCCAAAATGATAATGTCTGGAACAAACACTGACCTCTACAAATATTTGATGAAGAAAAGTACCCCAAAGATCTTTGGCAAACCTCACAACAAATCCATCAAACGTGCGACAAAACCTGCCGACACACGCCGCCGCCATGATACTAAAAAAGCTAGGCAAACCCATGACAAAGTAGCACAAAAAGAAGAAGAAATAGATGTTGCTCATTCAACTGCTGCATACGGCCGTGAAAAGGAAAAGAAAGAAAATTGAATTTTTCTTTCTTTTTGGCCTACTGCTTCTGTCGAAAAATATAAATGGAATATGTGTAGTATGTAGAAGTGTCTGGTGTAGTGGTGAGGAAACAATGAATTTTCCCTCCTTGATGCAGGTAGCCACCTTGGGAAATGAAGAAAGCTAATTAATTCTTCAACTTCCTCCCATAAACCTTAAGAAAATCTCCTCCCATAAACCTTAGGAAACCTCTTCCTAAGTTCCCTTAGGAAATCTCTTCCCAAGTTCATCCCAAGCAAACTTCTGCCCAATAACTTCATCCCCAACATCCACTCTTTAACTTCTACCTAATAACACATTCTCCAACCCAAATAATTGTCAGCAAACTTTTCCATCAAGCTAATAAATATTGCAGTGGAATAAGCTTGGTCCAAAATGAGCTATTTACCACATAGGAGGAAAGCCCTAACCCAACAGGTTGTAAGAGAAAAACATGCATTCATTTGGTCTTGATCATTAGTGATGTGAATAGAATGAAAATGAAAAGCCGTGGCAAAGAAGAAATGTATTATATTCCAAAATTGAAAACAGTCTAATTGGAGATAAGTCAACAATGACTCCTTCTTGCTGTCTCCATTATAAAGATTCATGGGATATGTAGTTGTTCTGAGACAAACTAACACAAGATAGAAAAAGCAAAAAAAAATGTCTGCTGCTAAAGAAATACAAGCGGCTATGGTGATGATGAGTGTGATGAGCTTCACCTTGGCTTTGGATTACGATATGTCTTCTGAAGCCTTTCGGTATAAGCTCGAAGGGATATCTATGGTTCCAAAGGGTTGTCCAGACATGTGCGGCAACGTTACTATTTACTACCCTTTCGGAATTGGTCCCAACAAAGATTGCTATTTGAACGAACTGTTCATCATAAACTGCACCAAATCCTCCAATGGTGTCTGGAAGCCCTACTTGAGCTCCGGCAGGGATGGCGGCGTAAGAGAGATTCTGGGCATTTCCTTTGACAGACAAATAGTCGCCACCCAAGAATCAATCCCTCCTTCCCTTTGCCAACCCGCCGGGCGGCCCGGGCAATCGGAGGGAAACCGTTCATTCTCCAAAACTCAAACCACAAATTTCTCCAGAACCCAAGTATTCTCCTACGCTCCGGGTTACAACAAGTTCACGCTTTTAGGCTGCGGCGGCGCTCTCCTCACCTCGCCGGGCTACGGCACAGTAGGCGGATGCACGGCGTTGTGCGTCGCAAACACCGGACTTGAACGGCCTCTCAACGGCATAAACATGTGCGAACTTTTCTTGGACGGCCGTGTAGAAACGTTTGAATTCCATGTCAACTTCACAAACCCGGCGGTCAATGCCTGCAACTATGCCTTCTTTGTTGATCAAAATTGGTACGCTACAAGCTTTCCCGGCGGCCGGCAGGAGCAGCTAGTTGTTCAGGTCGTGCGGAGCTGGACCACCCCAGATTTGCATCCATCGGACCCCTCGCACTACTGCATCAATGGAAGTTCTTCCTGGGGATGTTTCTGCCAATATCCGAAAAAGGGGAACCCGTATATTGCAAATGGATGTCAAGGTACTCCACTAATCTATATTCTCTAATAAATATGTATATATACTCACTGTCAAAATTATGTTCATTAGCTAATTAACACGTGTTTGTAGTTAACAAATTAAATTATGACATATAATTTTTAGACTAGAGTCTACAATGTATTGTGGGTCCTGATTTATGGTATAACAATTGCACAAATATTATGGATCATACAAATGCAGGCCAAACGGGCTTGGCCCGTAACTGACAGGCCAATCCCGATGGCAAATTTTACTATAGTTGTGTGGACTATGGTCAAAACGGTGTCGTTTCTTTTAATGAAAAGAAACGACACCCGTTCTGTACAATTGGTTCTGTTTGTATAACGTATTCATTTTCATTTTATATACATTGTAGTTTCAATTTAGTACAGCTAAAGTTTCATTTTGTTTCAACTACAGTTTCATTTGACACTATACATACAATAGTCTTATTACAGTGAGACCTGTTAGCAAAAATGGTGAGACGGTATCTATTAGCAAAAAAAAAAATTGAATGAAATAATCAATGATAAAAAGATAAATCATGTGGCCTTCATACTATTGAACCACAACAATAATAATAACAAAAAAATAAAAATAAAAAATTCCGACCACCCTTTAAGAATAGTCGGAATACCGACCACCAAGTTGGTCATAAAAAAGAATAGTTAATTTTAAATTATCATAAACTTTCCGACCACCTTTAAAATGTAGTCGGAATTTCCGACCACCATCTAATCGTGGTCGGAATTTCCGACCACTTTCAGACCACTCTAGCCTCCCGTCGGAAAATTGGAAAAAAATCAATTTTTGCGACCTTTTTCAGGTGGTCGGAAATGAGGTCGGAAAAACGCTGTTTTCCCGCCGTGAACACCACTTTTATAATTTTAATTCAACTTCGGTTTCATTGGACAATATACACCCAAATATGTGAAATTGTTACTCAATTTTATTTTATATACACTGTAGCTTCATTATAACACAACTAAAGTATCATTTTGATATAACTACACAATTTCATTTGACAATATACACCGTACCCAATATGTGAGACATGTTATTCAATTTCTTTTTATACATGTTTCATTTCAGTAAAACGAAAGTATCATTTCAATTCAACTACAGTTTTATTTGACAATATACACTCAATATGTGAGACATATTATTCAGTTTCATTTTATACATACTGCAGTTTCATTTCTATACAACTAAAGTATCATTTCATTTCAATTACAGTTCATATGATAATATAAACACAATATACGAGAAGAGTTATTTTTATTTATTTATTTATTTATTTATTATTATTATTATTATTATTATTATTTGTTTTTATTAGCCTTACAAGTAAACGCTTTAGGCCCAAAAGTGACCTAAGACTCACAAAATACAAAGGCTAAGAAACCTAACCAACCAAGGGGCCCAAGGCCCTTACAAGAAAAGGTCCATAATGGACTAACAAATAAAAGCCTATCAAGGCTAGCTAAAGGGCAAAAAAAAGCCTAATCTAGCAAAGGCCCAAAGGGCCAAAGGGCTCACAAAAAAAGCCTAAAAGGCTTAACAAATAAAAGGCCCATTTGGCCTTCCAATCTACAAACATGGGCGTGGATTGGCGAGAAGAGTTATTCAGTTTCATTTTAGATATATTGTAATTTCATTTTGTTAACACAAAAAATAAATACGGAATTTAATTTGTTAAAATTTAACGGTTGTTGTTTCTTTACTTAAAAAGAAACCAGGCTGTTTCATTTTTGAACCATGGTTCACATCGCTATGTCCACCGTATAACGTAAGAATCTAAACCTTCACCAACGGTGTTTGAACCTACAACCATCCATTTGAAATGTTAATCAGGATGTCATCACATTACATGGCAATTGACTATTCCTGGTCGCTTTAACAATACTAATAATATTTAAAGGATCATGCTATGAGAATCAAAATTTATGATCACCATTTAATGTAATAATATATATATGATTTGTATTTGATTATTAAATAGATGCTATAGGGAACCTTATAAAGGTTTTCTTATTATGCAGGCAGTCATCGTAAGCTCACTGTCAAGGAACTATCTGCTATTATCGGTAATAAGTTGAATTGTTATTTGTTAATTGTCATTATTATATCAATATATATTGGCAATAATATAACTCCTATATATGAAGATTCTCCTAACTCGCATCATATCACTCAATCTCAGGTGTGAGTGCAAGTTTTGGATTTGTAGTGTTAGTATCGACTTGCTTTATCCTCTATAAAGTCATCAAGAAGAGAAAAATGAAGAAACTAAGGCAGAAGTTCTTCAAACGCAATGGAGGTCTCCTATTGGAACAACAACTCTTAGCCAAAGAAGGGAGTATAGAGAAAGCAAAGATTTTCACAGCCAGTGAGTTAGACAAGGCCACTGATAATTTCAATGCCAATAGAATAGTAGGCCGAGGAGGGCAAGGCACAGTGTACAAAGGAATGTTGATTGATGGCCAAATCGTTGCGATCAAGAAATCGCAAGCAGTGAATGAGAATCAGTTGGTGCCATTCATTAACGAAGTTGTCATTCTTTCCCAAATCAATCATAGGAATATTGTGAAACTACTGGGGTGTTGTCTGGAGACCGAAGTTCCCATTTTGGTTTATGAATTTATACCAAATGGAACACTTTTCAGCCTTATCCACAACAATTTTGGAGACGACCTCATTCCTCTTTCGTGGGATATTCGCCTCAGGATTGCATCAGAGGTGGCTAGTGCTTTAGCTTATCTCCACTCCGCTACATCAGTTCCCATTTACCACAGAGACATCAAGTCGAGTAACATCCTTCTGGACGAGAAATTTCGAGCCAAGATTTCTGATTTTGGAACGTCCAAATCCATTTCAATTGATCAAACTCACTTGACCACCATAGTGAAGGGGACGTTTGGTTATTTGGATCCCGAGTATTTCCAGTCAAGTCAATTAACAGATAAAAGTGATGTTTATAGCTTTGGAGTTGTCCTCGTTGAGCTCCTAACCGGACAAAAGCCAATTATATTTGATATTAATGATGATGAGGAGCGAAGCTTAATAACACGTTTTCTATTGTGCATGAAGGAGAATAGTCTTTCGAAGATTCTTGACGTGGAAGTTTCAGATCAAGGGAAAGAGGAAGATGTAGTGGCGGTTGCTTGGCTAGCACAACGGTGCTTGAACTTAAATGGGAAGAAAAGGCCTACTATGAAGGAAGTAGCAGCAGAGTTGGACGCCATTAGAGCATCTTCTCATCCTCATAATCTCCCATTGGCAATGGAAACATTGGAAGCCGAATCAGATTTCATGCCTTAAAATTTGACTATTTTTACTACAAGTGAACAAAAACTTGGTTAAGTTGAAGTATTTTCACTGTGTCATTACTAAAAATAATTTATTATTGCTAAATGACAATCTTTATGGTCTACATACTTTTCATAAATAGAAGTCTTGTGTTCCAAGTCTATATTGAGAATTTGGAATTGGAAATGATATCTGCCGTCATTGACTCTCCAACAACTTTGGATATCCATATCCACTTTTTTTTTGTAAATAGAAGCTTCTATTCAATATAATGAAATTCTTTAATTTCCAAACGCGCTGACACTAACTCCACATGCATGCACTTTCTTTAATTAATGAACTATTAATTCTTTTGACATTAATTTCCATTGTTCCCAAACTTCCATACTATTTGTATGAACTATTAATGACTTAATACCCAAAATAGTTCTTCGATAATAGTAGATTTTCTCAATTTCGTCCTAAATGATTTTTGGTGACCTAATATAGTCCCAGATTTTTGTTTTTTGTTCAATTTAGTCCTACTTTTGTTATTCCGCCAAATTGATGTTAAATAAATGGACAATTTAGTAATCTCAATATTGGTCTTTCTTTAATCTCAGTTCTGCGAAGTGCGAAATTCCTCTTTCTTTTGCGAATTACTACCATAATTACTCTTAGACCTGCGAATCAAATTTTATATTTGCAGGTTTGGGAGTAATTAGTAAAAGAAAGAGGGATTTCGCATTTGCACGTCTAAGAGTAAAGAGATGTCAATATTGGAATTACTGAATTGTCCCTGTGTTTAATACCAAATTGAAGGAATAACAAACAGATGACTAAGTTGAGCAAAAACACAAAAGTCTTGGACCACATCAAGTCACTAAAATTGTTTAGGACGAGATTGAGAAAAACCACTATAGTCGAGGACTATTTTGAGTATTAACTCAACTATTAATTCTTATGACTTTAATTTCCACTACTTAATGAACTATTATTTATTATGACTTTAATTTCCACTAAAGTAGTATAGTGGTGGGCTATGAACCAATATATTTGTATAAAGTATAAACCAATGCGATCAAGATGAGTGATTTGCTGGAAACCATATATGTGGGATATAATGATATCGAATATAGTTGATACTTTATATGGATTGGATATATTGTAATTCTTCATCATAACTTAACCCCATCCAACTTCACTTTTTGGTGCTCCGTCCATGGTTATTATATTCAATCATAATGTATAGTAGGAGAGTCGTTTTAATTTAATGTGTTGTTTCAGTATAGCCGCCTGGAATGTCAAAGTAGAGTCTTAATTTAATTTACTTTTTCTATTGAAATAATACAAGATAATCTTCACCGTTGTTAAGCAATAAGCTAAGTGCGCTGGAAATCAAATGCGTGTGTGAATGAAATTTGTTTATATTAAATCATGACAAATGTGAATACCTTTATGAGAAAATAAAGAATAAATTATTAGCAGGCATGATTATATTATTCAAAATTTGAGCTCTTTCCGTCATTATAGACTACTTGAAATATATATATTTATTGTTAAAATATTTTTTGGGCCGAAGTTACTCAGCTCTCATTATTGTATGTGTGAAACTGTGAATATATAGAAAAAGGTGGTCCAAGAAGAAAGGTATTCTCTCAAAAGTCAAAATTGAATCAGTGAAATTGGAGAAAATTAAAGTAAACATGGCCGGACTCGTTGCTCACTCCCTAATTAGCTTATAAATATTCATTGGATACGTTCTAAGAAATACATACAAGAAAAAAAAATGTGGGGTGGAAAAGAAAGATCAGTAGCTGCAGCTATGGTGATGATGATGAGCTTCACAGTGATGCTAAGTTTGGCAGACGTATATAATATGAGTGATGAGGCCTATCAGTATAAGCAAGCTGGGATATCTATGGTTCCAGAGGGCTGTCCAAATCAGTGCGGCAACGTTAGCATCTACTACCCCTTTGGAATTGGACACAACAAAGATTGCTATTTCAACAAATGGTTCCTCATAAATTGCACCAAATCCTCAGAGGGTGTGGAGAAGCCGTATTTGAGCTCCTTTTCCGATGACCATAGCGTAAGAGAGATTCTGGGCATTTCCTTTGAGACTCAGGCAATAAAACTCAAACAGTCCATCTCTCCTGTCTGCCAAACCACCACCCGGTCCGGCGATGAAAGCAATAATATCACCATAATTTCCAACACCAAATTATCCCAAACCCCATTCTTTTACTCTTTTAGTTACAACAAGTTCATACTTTTAGGTTGTGGCGGCAACGCTCTCTTCACCTCGCCTGGTGAGGGTATACTAGGTGGATGCACCTCGTTGTGTGGCAAATTCACGGAGAGGCAACATCGTTGCTACGGCATAAACTGTTGCCAATTCCAGGTTAACACATTCTACGACGACAATGTAAAAACATACCAAGTCAACTTCACAAGTACAAACTCGGCCTGCAGCTATGCCTTCATGGTTGATCAAGATTGGTTGGCTGAAAGCTTTCCGGGTAGCCGCCGGCAAGAAGAGCTAGTTGTTCCGGTGGTGTGGAAGTGGACCATCCCACACTTGCCTCCATCCGTCCCCTCAGACTACTGCACCCGCGATGATTGGTCTCACAGTAGTGATTATTATTATTGTTCATGCCCATATCCTAAGAAAGGGAACCCATTAATTGCAAATGGATGTCATGGTACGTAAGCCACTAATCTATACTATATATATATATATATATATATATATATATATATATATATATACATTTTCATCAATATATATTCAGGTGGAATGAGTTTAATTAACACAATTCTTGTTTAATCACAACTAATTAAAACTATTCTTCCATCTCATGCAGGTGGTCATCGTAAGCTCACGGTCAAGGAACAATCTGCTATTATTGGTCAGTTACTTGAATTTATGTACTTATAGTATCAAATATATAATTATGCAGGACTGTCCTAATACTATAGTTTCTTTCAAAAGTATTACATTTTTCATAAGATCACATTTTTTCAACATAAGTATTACACTTGTTGGAAAAAAAAAATATCTTAAAATGGCATAAAATGACATGTTAAGTGACTATTTTTTGGTACAATTATTAGTGGGGTCCACTTTCGATTTGGGTCAGGTGAAAGTGGATTCGGATTCTTCGTAGTGAGACGAAGAGATTGATTTATTGTACGCTCAAAACAGATAATGAGTGAATGAGATATTGATTCTCAAAGTAGACCCATTTGAGTTGAAAATTGAAGGGAAAAAGTGAGCTTTGCCCCACATTGGTTTGGAAAGTGGATTTGCCCCCCTTATATACAAGAGCTCTTTTGGAGCTTGTAGAATTATATAGTATAGAGGCTCTCTCGCGCGGGGGGAGCGGGGTGCAAATCAAATTCCAACTAGAAACGAGATAAAAAGGCTTGATTCAAGCCCGAGCTCGTGTGCGCCGGCACCTGTGAGCACGAATGTCGAATTGGCTTGGTCTTTGGCCGTGGCCGAAACTTGCAAGTGAGGCTAGAGGCCTAGGCTTTGGCCCGCTTGCAAGTGAGGCTAGAGGGCTAGAGGCACCTACGGGCACGAATGTCGTCGGGCTTCTCCTATGCCGAATTGGCCAGGCTAGAGGCTTCGGCCCTATGAGGCTAGAGGCTTTGGCCGAAACTTGCAAGTGAGGCGTGACGGCCCTATGAGGCTAGAGGCTTTGGCCGAAACTTGCAAGTGAGGCGTGAGGCCTATGAGGCTATAGGCAACTTGCAAGTGAGGCGTGAGGCCTATGAGGCTATAGGCTTTGGCTGATCGGCTTCGGCCCTATGAAACACTTGTGCAAGTTTCGGCCCTATGAGGCTAGAGGCTTTGGATGATCGGTTTCGGTCCTATGAAACACTTTCGGCCCTATGAGGCTAGAGGCTTTGGATGATCGGTTTCGGTCCTATGAAACTTGTGCAAGTTTCGGCCAAAGCCTCTAGCCTCATAGGGCCGAAACTTGCACAAGTTTCATAGGACCGAAGCCGATCGGCCAAAGCCTCTAGCCTCACCTACGGGCACGAATGTCGTCGGGCTTCTCCTATGCCGAATTGGCCAGGCTAGAGGCTTTGGCCGAAACTTGCAAGTGAGGCTAGAGGCCTATGAGGCTAGAGGCTTTGGACGATCGGCTTCGACCCTATGAAACTTGTGCAAGTTTCGGCCCTATGAGGCTAGAGGCTTTGGCCGAAACTTGCAAGTGAGGCTAGAGGCCTATGAGGCTAGAGGCTTTGGCCGATCGGCTTCGGTCCTATGAAACTTGTGCAAGTTTCGGCCCTATGAGGCATGAGGCTTAGAGGCCTATGAGGCTAGAGGCTTTGGCCGATCGGCTTCGGTCCTATGAAACTTGTGCAAGTTTCGGCCCTATGAGGCTAGAGGCTTTGGCCGATCGGCTTCGGTCCTATGAAACTTGTGCAAGTTTCGGCCCTATGAGGCTAGAGGCTTTGGCCGAAACTTGCAAGTGAGGCTAGAGGCTTTGGCCGAAACTTGCAAGTTTCGACTTCGGCCCTATGAGGCACGAATGTTTTGCAAGTTTTGGCCCTATGAGGCTAGAGGCTTTGGCCGAAACTTGCAAGTTTCGGCCACGTTGAGGCTTGGCCGAAACTTGTAAGTTTCGGAAAGTTCAGCCCTGGCGCAAGGCCGAATTGAAACTCCTGTTGTGACCGTGGGGGTTTTAATTCAGCTGTTACGGAGTTAATTCTTTGAATTAATTCCAATTTTAATTTTTTGAATTAAAACTCAAGGTAGTGGTTGCTGTTACAGGAGTTGTAGGGGTGCCTTTAAATGCCAAATTAAAAACTACTTAATCCTTCAACCCTATATAATAGAGGGTAGATAGAGATTTACAACAACAAGAAAGCATAATTTCCAGCCTCAAAACTCTCTGCTTCTACACTTTCTTTAGTCATACTGTGTTCATCACCTTGCTTTTGTTTGCCGGATTCCTTGTTTGGGTGTTCAAACATTGAATCAGCAAGTTTTATCCTGGGAAGCCTAGGCCACGAAGCTCCTATCACTTTTGGGGGGTGGCAAATAAGGTTTTAAAGAAAGAGTGATCACTTACTCTTGCAAAAACCCAACACCAAACACTAGCCAAATTCTTCATCCTCCCTTCCCTTTGCTTTCCAGAAAAATAATAATCTTATTTAATTTGATTATTATTTGTTTTTCTACCAACGGTTCCAACAACACTTTCTCTAATAAATATCAATCAATTAATTTATTCATTATTAGTATTACACTTTTTCCTTTTAAGTAATTTTTCAACCATAAATATTATATTTTGATTTAAAAGTACGTATTATGTTTCTAATCATAAATATTATTTTACTATCTTGACTCAACCCATTTCAAAGGAGACTCGCCCTTAGCTTTTTGTTTATCAACTTATTGTAGTCTAATAAATATAAATTAAGCATTATATTCATATGAAGTTTCATTCTAATCACCTACATCACTCAATCTCAGGTGTTAGTGCAAGTTTTGGAATTTTGTTGTTAGTATGGGGTTGTTTCATCCTCCGTAAAGCCATCAAGACGAGAAAGATGAAGAAACAGAGACAGAAGTTCTTCAAGCGTAATGGAGGTCTCCTTTTACAACAACAACTCTTAGCTAAAGACGGGACTATAGAGAAAGCTAAGATTTTCACGGCGAGTGAGTTAGATAAGGCCACTGATCATTTCAATGCCAATAGAATTGTAGGCCGAGGAGGGCAAGGCACCGTGTACAAAGGAATGTTAATTGACGGACAGATTGTTGCAGTTAAGAAATCGCAAGCCGTGAATGAGAACCAGTTGGAGCCCTTCATTAACGAGGTTGTCATTCTTTCCCAAATAAATCATAGGAATGTTGTCAAACTACTGGGGTGTTGTTTAGAGACTGAAGTTCCCATTTTGGTTTATGAATTTATACCAAATGGGACACTTTTGAGCCTTATCCATAACAAATTTGGCGACGAGCTCATTCCACTTTCATGGGATATTCGCCTCAGGATTGCATAAGAGGTGGCTAGTGCTTTAGCTTATCTTCACTCCGCCTCATCAATTCCTATATACCACAGAGACATCAAGTCGAGTAACATCCTTCTGGACGAGAAATTTCGAGCTAAAGTTTCAGATTTTGGAACATCAAGGTCCATTTCAATTGACCAAACTCACTTGACTACCATAGTTAAGGGTACTTTTGGTTACTTGGATCCCGAATATTTTCGTTCCAGTCAATTCACAGATAAGAGTGATGTTTATAGCTTTGGAGTAGTCCTTGCCGAGCTCCTGACGGGACAAAAGCCAATTTCATTTGAAGCTAATGATGATGAGGATAGGAGCTTGGTAACACGCTTTCTATTGTGCATGGAGGAGAACACTCTTTGGAAGATTCTTGATGTGGTAGTTTCAGAGCAAGGAAAAAAGGAAGAAGTGATGGCGGTTGCTTGGCTTGCACAACGTTGTTTGAACTTCAATGGAAAAAAAAGGCCTACAATGAAAGAAGTGGTTGTAGAGTTGGACGCCATTAAAGCATCTAATCCCCACTTCTCCACGGTCGTGGAAACATTGGAAACTGAGCCAAATTTCGTAGCATAAAATTTTACTATTTTGCTACATTCTTCAGGTGTATCCAACTAATCAAAGATTGGCAGAAATTGAATTGTTTGTCACTCTCACATTCAAGCATACCTGTCTCATAGTGTCTTTTCATGGGATGTAAAGAACTAATTGTTACATTGTGAACCAGGATTTAGCGTTTTAAATTTTAATTTTGACAGCGATCGTTTGTTGTTTAGTTTATGTTACTGGATTTTTAATTATAAGGCATGTGTATGTGTCTTGTGTTATGCATTTCTATGTCTCACGTTATGCAATTATGTTTCTTAAGCGTATGAATTTTGTCCCTGAAATAGATTAGTAGTTTTTTAATGCAAAACATATTGTTTGTCTTATTTTACACATTTATGTCTATATTATGAAATTATGTGCCCATAGGACATAAAATATCTATATAAATCAGATTTGAAAATAAGTAAATATATAACATACGTATGTGTTTTGTGTTGTGAATCTTTGTGTCTCGTGTTATAAAATTTTATATCTCAGGAGCATTGATTTTGTACTTAAAATAAATTAAAATGAATAAGGTTCAAATTAACGTAACCTGAAAATGCAATTAGGTCACTGAACGAAAAAAAAATGTAATTAGGCCACTGAGCACCCTAAAAACGTGCAATTAGGCCCCTGAACACTCCAAATGCATGCAATTTCACCGGATAGCAGGTTACCTGCTTACGTGGCAGTTGAGTTGACATTTTTAATAATTTTTAATAAATTTTAATAATAAATTTTTAAAAATTGAAAAAAATTAAATAATAAATAAATAAATAAATAATGATATCGATCGAATATAGTTTGATATATATTGTAATTTTTCCTCATATATAACTTAACCCCACCATGACTTTTTGCAATCATTATGCCATGGAACCGTGTTCACCATTCATGGTGAACACGGTCCCAACAGTGTTAGTGCACCGTTATCTTTTATTTTTTTTCCCCTTAATTAATCACGTGACTTTTCTTCTTCATTTTCACATTTCGCGGTTTCACTTTAATTTGAGACGAGCAATGATTTCGGACATTCATAAATTATGAATCCATGCCTGCACATTCACTTTGGAACCATGCCTGCACATTCACTTTGCAAGCTTCTTCAACATCATAAATTATGAATTTTCTGTTATGAGATTATGAATTTTCTGTTATTAGATTATGAATTTTCTGTTATGAGATTATGAATTTACAGTACATTCATAATCTCATAACAGAAAATTCATAATCTGACCAAACGCGCGCCGTTAACACCACATTAGCGAATTTTATTTTTTTACGTAAAAACAGCGCCGTTTGGACCCGTGTTCACCATTCATGGTGAACACGTTTCTAGGGCATAATTTGCCGGTGCTCCGTCCATGGTTATTATATTCAACCATATCTGACTCATAATGTATAGTCGGACAGTCGTTTTAATTTAGGCCCTGTTTGGTAAAAAATTGGCCTATAGGCCAATTTTGGCTTATTTAACCACTATTGATTGTTTGATTTAGTTAAAATATCAATATAAATGTTTGGTTAATTAGCTTTTTGCAACTCCAAAAGGCTAAAATTTAAAAAGCTACTCCAAGCAACTTTTTTAATTATCTTTTTGAGAAAAGAAACTATACCAAACAGCTATCAGCTAAAAACTAATTTACCAAACACTTTTCTAAAATCAGCTATATTATCAAATATTCGTACCCTCTAATTAACACAATCAGCTAATAGCTAACAGCTATCAGCAAACAGTCATTTTACCAAACAGGACCATTAAATTAAAACGACTGTCCTACTATACATTATGAGACAGATGGGGTTGAATATAATAACCATGGACGGAGCACCAAATACTCATGTTGGCCGGGGTTAAGTTATGATGAATAATTCTATATATGTTCACAAATCCATCATAACCAATATCCCACATGGTTTCCACTTTCCAGCAAATCACTCATCTTGATCGCATTGGTTTATACAAATTAATATTGAATTGGTTCATAGCCCACCACTGTACTATTTTAGTGTGGAAATTAAAGTCATAAGAATTAATAGTCCATTAATTAAAGAAAGTGCATTATGCATGTGGAGTTAGTGTCAGCGCGTTTGGAAATTAAAGAATTTCATCATATTGAATTGAAAGCATTCAAAAAAAAGAATTGAAGCTTCTATTTACAAAAAGTGGATATGGATATCCAGAGTTGTTGGAGAGTCACATGACCGCAGATTAGCAGATATCATTTCCAATTCCAAATTCTCAATATAGAGAGGGAACACAAGATTTCTATTTATGAAAAGTAGACCATAAATATTGACATTAAGCAATAATAAATTATATTTAGTAAAAAAAATAATACATTTAGTCAACTGCTCTAGCTAGAAAGATTGTGAAAGGAATGGAATGATATATCCTTTCAGGGTAAGGATTTCTTGAGGAGTTATTGATTTAATTTGTTGGTAGTGTTTCAAACTAAAATAGTCATCAAATTATATAGGCAAAACCCATTTCAAAGGTGATTACTTTGTTGCCAACAAAGGCTCGTTTTCATCGATTGTTATACCATGGACCAAGGTTCATATTGCATTGTGAACCTTGATACAAAAATTTTATACCTTTAGTTAACACATTTTGTACCACAGTTAACAGTTTCTGTATATGTAAACAACTAACTTATTGCTGACACATAATATGACAGTTACAATTTACAGGTACATAAACTATCAAATGCAGGTACTTAATGCATCAACTACATATACAGAATCTGACTTGATAATTGCTAGCTGACACATAATATGATAGTTACATATACAGAAACTATCAACTATAGATACAGAATGTGTCAACTATAGAATCTAAACGTTATTTTGGACCAGTGTCTACAATGCAAGGTAGATCCTGGTTCATGGTATAACTTGCATGTTTTCATCGTCTTAAATGTATATTTATTATTTCATATATTTATCGTTATCCATGTTTGTATGCAGGGACGGAGCCAGAAATTCGGTTTGGGGGGGGGGGGGGGGGGGGGGGGCGAGGAAGTACGGACAGATTCAAAAAAAAAAAATCCAATAAAGGCGAAACATTAAAACAAAAGAGATAATTTAAAAAAAAAAATACCTAATAAATATAGTTGTAAATATCATAACAAAATATGAAACATAATTAATTTGATAAAATAATTTGAATAGAAAACACATTATAAATTACACATCTCATTATTAATATAAAAAAATGTTATATAGTTGCCAAGGATTCAAACCCTTGGGCCTTTACTATTGTCAAACAAGTGCTCTACCAACTAATCTAACTCATTTCTTGTTGACATTAAAAGTTTTTTTATACTAATACTAACTCTTGTACTGTATATACATATATATACATACAAAGATTATATATAGGGTGGGGTGGGGTGAAGTGAGGGGGGCAGCTGTCCCCCTTTGGCTCCGTCCTTGTTTGTATGTACGCATATATCCAAGCTAAGTATACAACATGTCACAAGTTGTAACAAATGATACAAATTTTAATTGAACACGCTCGACATATATACCTGTTAGCTGAGGTTTTAGAGTTGTAGAAAAAAAAAATTGAGTCAACCACAAAATAAAAAATGATAAGCCTCCAACTGTTCATCAAAACTAACAAAAAACGTGCAGACTAACCCGATTAGAATCCCTACCCAAAGTTGCAATATAATGAAATGTTATATTATATATCCCTTCTCCATTAAACCTCTTGTCTTTATCATTAGATGACTCAGTTTATATCCACCTCGCATAGACACCCAACACACTTTTAACTGTTAAAAATATGGAAAAAAAAAAAATTCTAATTCTCTTAATTGGAGAAGAAAATAGTATAGAGCTTTGGAAGTAAAAACATATTCTTATTGAACTGAATAAAAAGTGTTTAATACATTAGCTAGACTAAGGAAAAATAAATATGATAGCACGTTAGATTCAATTTTCAGTGTTTTGCCGACGGGCCGAGAGACAAGCATGAGATGCTATAATAGCGTCCAACTCTGTGGCTACTTCTTTCATGGTAGGTCTATTCTTCCCGTTGAAGTTCAAACAACGATGTGCAAGCAAAGCAATCGCCATAACATCTTCCTTTTGACCTTGCTTTGAAACTTCCATGTCAAGAATCTCCGTGATACGGTTTTCTTCCATGGACAATAGAAATCGTATTACCAAGCTCCGATCCTCATCATCATTAACCTCAAATGAAATTGGCTTTTGTCCAGTAAGGAGCTCAGCAAGGACAACTCCGAAGCTATAAACATCACTCTTATCTGTGAATTGACTTGACCGGAAATACTCAGGATCCAAATAACCAAATGTACCCTTCACTATGGTAGTCAAGTGAGTTTGGTCAATTGAAATCGACCTTGACGTTCCAAAATCTGAAACCTTAGCTCGAAATTTCTCATCTAGAAGGATGTTACTCGACTTAATGTCTCTATGATAAATAGGAATTGATGTCGCTGAATGGAGATAAGCCAATGCATTAGCGGTCTCAGATGCAATCCTAAGGCGAATATCCCACGAAAGAGGAATGAGCTCATCGCCAAAATTCTCATGGATAAGGCTGAAAAGCGTTCCATTTGGTATAAACTCATAAACCAAAATGGGAACTTCTGTTTCCAGACAACATCCTAGTAGTTTCACAACATTCCTATGATTGATTTGGGAAAGAATGACAACCTCATTGATGAATGACTCCACCTGGTTCTCGTCCACAACCTGTGATTTCTTAACCGCAACGATTTGCCCATCAATTAACATTCCTTTGTATACTGTGCCTTGCCCGCCTCGACCCAGTATTCTATTGGCGTTGAAGTTATCTGTGGCCTTATCCAACTCACTTGCTGTAAAAATCTTTGTCTTCTCTACTGTCCCTTCTTTGGCTAAGAGTTGTTGCTGTAATAGGAGACCTCCATTACGCTTGAAGAACTTCTGCCTCATCTTCTTCATCTTTCTCTTCTTGATGCCCTTATAGAGGATAAAGCAAGCCGACAATAATAGCAAAAATCCAAAACTTGCACTAACACCTGAGATTGAGTGATACAATTGAAGAGAATGTCAATATAATTTAGATTTAGATTAACATGAATGCTTAATGTATGTTTACTACGATATGTATTTCAAAGGGTTAAACTTACCAATAATAGTTGATAGTTGCTTGACAGTGAGCTTACCATCGTCTGCATTTGAGGAAAATAGCTAGATTAGTAAACATTTATATATATTATGCTCCAGACAGATGCAATTAATTAAACAGTAAACATTTATAGAGAATATATATATATATATATATATATATATATATATATATATATATATATATATATATATATATATATATACCTTGACATCCATTTGCTAAGTAAGGGTTCCCTTTTTTGGGAGATATGCAGTAACATTTCCAAAAGGTAGTACTTGAAGAACTTGAATAATTGTCGCAGGTGTATGAGGAGGATGGAGGCAATTGCAAGTAGTGGTGTTGGATGTTCCTGTCGAGGGATGAGATGAAGAACTCAGGTGAGAGGAAAGTTGACAGTAAACATTGAAGAGAAGAGTGGAAAAACTCATTAACTGTTCTGGAAACCAGTAGGATGATACATGTAGAGAAGCTGAGATGATAAAAACGGTTACAACAGAATCTTGGAAATGTAAGGACTAATCTACCCTTGATTTATTTACTAATCGTGGAAATCAAGCAAACATTGCTGAAAATACTGCTGAAAAGTCTGGTGAGAGTTCTGAAACTTTACTTTTAGCCAGCGATAGTTTTTCTGCAGATAAGAACATATGGTTCTTGGATACTGGGTGTAGTAACCATATGTGTGGGAAGAAAGAATTGTTTTCTGAACTGGATGAATCAGTCCGGTCTGAAGTGACATTTGGCAATAAGTCAAAGGCGCCAATTTTGGGAAAAGGTAAAATCTCTATTCAGTTGAAGGATGGTACTCACAATTTTATATCTGATGTGTTCTATGTTCCTGAACTACACCAAAACTTGTTGAGTATGGGTCAGTTGTCAGAAAAAGGATATAAGATACATATTGCTCAGGGGTGTTGTACCATTGCTGATGCTAAAGGAGTTTTGATTGCAAAGGTAAATATGTCTCAGAATCGACTATTTCCTTTGAAAATTAAGCATACTCTCCTTGCTTGCTTTAATTCTGAAGTTTGTGATGCAAATTGGTTATGGCATATGCGATATGGGCATTTTCATTTTTCTGGATTAAACTATCTTGCGAGAAAGGAACTTGTTTTTGATTTACCTGTTGTGAATGTCCCTGATCGTATATGTGAGATTTGTGTGATTGGGAAGAAGCATAGAGATCCCTTCCCTGTGGGCAAGTCAAGGAGAGCTACAAAACAGTTGGAGATTGTTCACTCAGACCTGTGTTCGTTGGAGGTTCCCTCACATGGAGGTTGTAAGTACTTTATTACTTTCATTGATGATTTCAGTAGAAAAACATGGGTTTACTTTCTGAAGCAAAAGTCTGAAGCATGTGATGTTTTCAAACAATTTAAGGCTTTTGTTGAAAAGCAGAGTGGTTATGAAATTAAAATCTTGAGAACTGATAGAGGTACAGAATATATTGCCTGTGATGATTTTCTGAAGAAGAAGGGTATTCAACATCAGATGACAGCTAGATACACTCCACAACAAAATGGAGTGGCTGAGAGGAAAAACAGGTCTATCATGGATATGGTAAGGTGCATGTTGAAATCCAAGGATCTGCCTAAACCTTTTTGGGCAGAAGCTGTTGCTTGTGCTGTCTATGTGTTGAATAGGTGTCCAACTAAAAGTGTGTGTGATAAGACACCTGAAGAAGCTTGGAGTGGGAGAAAACCCTTTATCAAATATCTCAAGGTTTTTGGATGTTTGGCATATGCCCACGTGCCGGATCCATTGAGAAAGAAGTTGGATGATAAAGGTGAGAAATGCATATTCATTGGTTATAGTGACGCTTCAAAGGCTTATAAACTATACAATCCTGAAACTAAAAAGGTTGTTATAAGTCGTGATGTCACTTTTGATGAATATGGTGCTTGGGATTGGTTAGCTAAAGATGAAAGTTCAGTTGTTATTCCTGCTGTTGAAAATATTGTTGAAGAGCAACCGATTCCAGATAATGTCCAGTCTCCTTCACAGCCAGAGTCGTCAGTTCGACGATCTCAGCGCGAGCGCCACTTACCAGCTCGCTTGCAAGATTATGTTTTGGGTCATGATAATGACTTGTCGGATGAAGAGATTATTCAATTTGCTCTTTTTGCAGATTGTGATCCTTTATCTTTTGAGGAGGCTGCTACAGAAACTCATTGGCTTAAGGCGATGGATGAGGGGATACGTGCCATTGAGAAGAATGGTACCTGGGAGTTAACAGATTTACCTCCTGGGAAGAAGCCAATTGGAGTAAAGTGGGTTTACAGAACGAAATACAAGTCAGTATATCCAACTTGAAGACGGAGACATTTCTTAAATTGAAGAATGAGATATTGGGATGACCAATATATCCAACTTGGTTTAAAGGAGGCAATGTTATAATAATAATAATAATAATAATAATAATAATAATAATAATAATATTATCATTATTAGTAATGGTTAAACCAAGTATTAAATTAGTTTGTTATGAATAATGCATGGATGCAGTAGGTGGGTTATGCATGGTATCACTACATAGATTGTGGCCTTAATTGTAGCTTTACATGGAGCATTACTCCTAATCTTTAGCTTTATTAGTGGTTATCTTTTAGTATAAATAGGTTACTATTGTTCATTCATTAATCATCAATTCAAAGAGTTATTTTTCTCCTCTCTCTCTCTTCTCAATATATAAATATAATATATAAATATATTATATTTAATATATATTATAGATATATTATATTATATTTAATATATATTATATTAAATATATTATATTTAATATATCTAACATATGTGCTGCTGCTAGGTGTTTGTCTGTAGGAGCATCAACGAACTGGCTTAGTTGCTGCACGGCGTAGGCTTTGTCGGGCCTTGTGGCAGTGAGGTATAGCATTCTGCCTACCAAGCGTCTGTAGCTACTGGGATCAGCAATGGGAATTCCATCAGTGTGAGATAAAGTTAAGCCTTGTGCCATTGGTGAACTTGCAGGCTTGCATCCGAGAAATCCGGTTTCATCAAGTATTTCCAGAGCGTACTTTCGTTGACAGATATTTAGGCCATCAGCTGAATATTTTGCTTCAATCCCCAAGAAGTAACTCAGACTGCCTAGATCCTTAATTTTGAAAGTGCTATCCATAAACTGCTTGAGCTCTTGTATTAAGTCTAGCTGAGCACTGGCCACTATAATGTCGTCAACGTACACTAACAGAGCAATAAATTTGGTTGCAGTTCCTTTTGTAAACAGAGCTGGATCGGACTTTGATTGAGTGAATCCAATATGAAGTAATGCTGCATTCAACTTGGAGTTCCATTGCCTGCTTGCTTGTTTAAGACCATATAGAGATCTAAGCAATCTACAGACTTGTTGTGGTTTCTCAGCATGAAATCCGGGAGGTAGAGACATGTATACTTCTTCATTCAAATCTCCGTGCAAGAAGGCATTGTTAACGTCCATTTGGTGAATATGCCAGGCCCTAGAAGCAGCAACATTTAGAAACGTCCGGATTGTGGTTATTCTTGCCACTGGTGAGAAGGTTTCAAGGTAATCCACACCAAGTTGTTGTGTGTAGCCCTTGGCTACTAGCCTTTCCTTGTGCCTCTCTATCGTACCATCTGCTTTCAGCTTAGTCTTATACACCCACTTGCATCAGATCGGTGTCTTTCCCGGAGGTAAATCACTTAGTTCCCATGTGTTGTTCTCTTGTAGAGCTGTGATTTCAGCATCCATTGCATTTCTCCAACACAGGTTTTTGATGGCCTGGTTGTAAGTTCTAGGCTCATCCACAGCAGTGATAGCCATTGATAAGATCTTGTGATGTGGAGTAAGGCCATTATAAGAAACGACCTTAGAAAGAATATGAGGAGTCCCATCTTTTGCTACTGTTTCACAGTAGTAATCACGTAGCTTGCATGGAACTTTTCTTTGTCTGTTCGAACGTCTGATATATATGGGAGGATCCGGTTGGCTTTCCCTATTTTCTGTGTTACTGTCATTCTCAAATGGAGGCTCTGGAGATGTTTTGCTGTCACCTGGTGTAGTTTGGGCAGTGCTGCTTGAGTCGTTAGTGGCATTCACTGGCTCAAAATAAAGAGGGACTTGCATAGGATTACTGTTGGCTGCTTCATGGTTCATACTGCCATTGTCAACTTGGAGATGGCTCATGTTCAACTTTTGAAAGTTAAACTCCTCACAATTAGATACAGGGATGATTGGCAGAGAAGGTCCACAAACAGATGGTGGATCAGTATCAATATTCATATTTTTGTTTCCAAAAGGAAATTGTGTTTCATAAAACACCACATCACGAGAGGTAAATATCAATTTTTCATGCAGATCATAGATCAAATAACCTTTTGTATTTGCAGGGAAGCCAACAAAAATACCTTTTCTGCCTCGTGCAGCCATTTTGTGCCTTGATTGAGATGGGGTGGATGCAAAGCATAGGCAGCCAAAAACTCTGATGTTGCTAAGATCAGGGATCTTCTTGTGCAGACGCTGATAAGGGGTTGTCCATTCAATAATTGGAGATGGTAATCGGTTGATCAGATATGCAGCATGAAGCACACATTGCCCCAGAAATCCAAGGGAAGATTTGCTTGAAAGCGGATGGCCCTTGCTACACTCAATATGTGTTGATGTTTGCGTTCGACAACCGCATTTTGCTGAGGCGTATTTACGCATGATCGCTGGTGGACTATGCCATGCTCATCAAAGAAGTTCACCATGTCAAACTCTTTCCCGTTATCACTGCATATAGTCTTGATTGACACACCAAACTGAGTGTGAATAAACTTGTGAAATTTCTTAACCAATTCTTGTGTTTCAGACTTAGCTCTCATCAAATGCAACCATGTGTACCTTGAATGATCATCTACAATAGTTAGAAAGTAATGTTCTCCCCCTAACGACTTTACCATGAAGGGCCCCCAGATATCTATATGTATAATATCAAAACACGCAGGTGACATAGTTTTGCTTATAGGGAATGGGGATCTCTTGTGTTTGGCAAGGTGACAAACTTCACAAGCTATACTCTTAGTATTAGGAACAGAAAAATTTTGCAGGTGTTGCATCTTATTAACGGGAAAATGTCCCAATCTTTGATGCCAAAAAGATTTTCTAACATTTCCTGGGGGTTCAAGCAGCAAGTATAGGCCCTTTTCTTCTTTAGCAAAACCAGTCATCTTCCCATGTTTCTCCCGAAGAAAGCACTGATCAGAGGCAAAGATTAAGTCATAAGGTGAATCTTGAAGAAATTTTGTAACAGATAGTATGTTGAACTGAAATGTAGGGATATGTAAAACATTTTTCAGCCACAACCCATCTCTGAGCTTAATGTTTCCCATATGTTCCACTGCAATATGTCCTCCATGTGGCAGATTAACCACTGCTCCTTCAATAATATGATATTCATCAAACAGTTCTAAAGAACATGCTATGTGGTCAGTAGCACCCGAATCCAATATCCATACAGATGAATCCAATATAATTGAATTAACACGAGTATTGGTTAAGCATCTACCTTCATTTTGAGAGTCATCCTTGTGCATAGGCATGAGAGAAACAGCTGCAGTAGTGGAAGCTTTGTTCTGGCCCATTTGTGTCTGTAAGAGAGAAATGAGCTGTTGAATCTGGTCAGATGGAACACTGCCATTGCTACTAGTAGATGCTGCCATTGTCTGTTGTTTTCCCTTCGACTTGAAACCTGGCACCCAGCCGGGGGGATAACCGTGCTTCTTATAGCACTTCTCCACTGTATGGCCATTCATGCCACAAAACGTACATTTTGCAGTCTTGTTTGTGTTGCCATTATTCATGTTTCTTCTGCCATTGAAATAATTGACTGCAGCTACCACATCTTCATTGATCGTCTGTGTAGACTGCATAGCATTGGCATGGCTTATCTCCAAGGTACTCATGTTTGTAGCATTCATCTGTCTCTCATACTTTTCAGCCATAACAAATACTCTGTGAATGTCTGGCAGAGGATCTAGAACTAGAATATTTGATTTCAGGGAATTATATTCATCACTTAAGCCTTGTAGGAACCTGATGATGCGATCTACCTCCCGTTCAGTCTTGATTTCCTCAATTAAATCACAAGGACATCTTGGATTGCATCTACACATTGGAATCGGCCTTAGTTCGTTCATCTGTTCCCAAAGAGCTCTACACTTAGTGTAGTATTCGGTCACTGAGAGATTTCCCTGCTTTAGACAATTGATCTCGTTTTGTAGGGATGAGATGCGATGTGCATCTCGCTGAGCGAACCTTTTCTTCAAATCATTCCAGACTTCCGTAGCTCTTTCCATATAGATGATACTCTGCACAATGGAAGGGTGAACTGAATTGCAAATCCATGAGCAAATCATGAGATTGCACCTCCTCCAAGCGGCGTATCGACTATGCGATCTGTCCGGCTCCATGACGCTTCCGTCAGCAACGGCCCACTTGTTTTTCACCTCAAGTGCGACGCGCATAGCAATGCTCCATGTGCCGTAATTATCGCTACCGGAGAGGGGAGGACTGACGAGAACTGTGTTGGAACTCTCGCTACTGCTTAGATGCAAGGGATTTTCTATATCGTCTGCTCGGTTACTCCTCTGTGGAGTAGTGTTTTGCGGATGGCTTGTCGGAGTTGTGCGAACGGGAGATCGGAGGATCGGCGTGGTAGGATGCGATCTCTGACTGACTGTCCAGTGCCGGAAACCGCCGCGGCGTAGCTAGCTCTTGGCCGCTCTGATACCATGTCGAGGGATGAGATGAAGAACTCAGGTGAGAGGAAAGTTGACAGTAAACATTGAAGAGAAGAGTGGAAAAACTCATTAACTGTTCTGGAAACCAGTAGGATGATACATGTAGAGAAGCTGAGATGATAAGAACGGTTACAACAGAATCTTGGAAATGTAAGGACTAATCTACCCTTGATTTATTTACTATCTTCAGGGACTTTATTGTCTAATAGTTCCACCGCCACAAGACGGGAACAACAATAACCTCTTCCTGCCCGCTGCCTGGTGAGCTTTTAGCGAACCAATTTTGATCAACAATGAAGGCATAGTTGCGGGCATTATTTACAAACAAGTTTGTAAAGCTGACTTGGTATTTTTTTACATCGCCGGTTAAATAAGCTTCGCAACAGTTTTTGCCGTTGCAAGGTTGTTCAAGTTGCGTGGTTTTGGCATCACACCACGAAGTGCAGCCGCCTAGTTTACTTTGATCAGGCGAAGTGGAAGTGAGGAGAACGTTGCCACAACCCAAAAGCATGAACTTGTTGTAGAGTCCAGAGTAGAAGAATGGGGTTGCAGCTAAATTTGTGTTGCCCCTAATTATGGACAATGAATTGTTATTATTGTTTCCCCCAGACCCGCGGATGAGAGGAGAGATTGTTTCTTGGATTGTTATTGTTTGACTTTCGAAGGAAATGCCCAGAATCTCTCTTATTCTGCCACCATATTTGCCATTGGTAAAGGCCCTCAAGTAGGGCTTGTGGACACCATGGGAGGAGGAGGAAGATTTGGTGCAATCTATGAGGAACCATTTATTCAAATATCAACTTTTGTTAGGACCAATTCCGAAGGGATAGTAGATGCTAACATTGCCGCACTTATCTGGACAACCCTTTGGAACCATAGATACCCCATCTCGCTTATACCAATAGGCTTCATCAGACATATCATCTTCAAATGCCAAAGTGAGCATCGCTGTGAAGCTCATCATCACCATAGCCACCGCTACTGATCTTTCTTTTCCACTCCACATCTTTCTTTTTTTTCTTTTTTTTTTTTTTGGGTATGTAAGTGTATGTACTGTTCCTATTCTTTTCTTGTGTATGTCTTGGAACCTATCCATCCAATGAATATTTATAAGGGAGCTGAGATAGCATGTTTTACTTGGGCTGCAACACAACCAAATTGATTAACCCCAATAATTATTTTAACATTAAATAGGTTTAAAGTAGTCTATAATGGCGGCGGAAATTCATTCATACACACTTTTCCAGCATGCTCATTGCTCTACAGCTGGTGAAGATTATCTTAATTAACTAAGTATTATTTCAATGGAAAAAGAAGACTCTACTTTGACATTCCATGGCGGCTATGCTGAAACAACACATTAAATTAAAGTCATAAGAATTAATAGTCCATTAATTAAAGAAAGTGCATGCATGTGGAGTCAATGTCAGCGCGTTTGGAAATTAAAGAATTTCATCATATTGAATTGAAGCTTCTATTTACAAAAAGTGGATATGGATATCCAGAGTTGTTGGAGAGTCACATGACGGCAGATATAATTTCCAATTCCAAATTCTCAATATAGACTGTGAACACAAGACTTCTATTTATGAAAAGTTTAGTAGACCATAAATATTGACATTTAGCAATAATAAATTATTTTTAGTAAATAACAATACATGTGGTCGATCAACTGGTCTAGCTAAAAAAGATTGTGAAAGGGATGAAATGATATATCCTTTCAGGGTAAGGATTTCTTGAGGAGTTGTTGATGAGAACTGATTGTATTATATTTTCTGAACTTGATTACAATGAGATCAGATGATGTGAATATATAGAATAGAGAGTCACAGTGTGACAATGATAAGAAGTAGAGAGTCACAGTGTGACAAGGATAAGAAGTTCTAAACAGACTCATATACATAGAGTCCTAATACTCCCCCTCAAGCACAGTGTATACTAGTAACCTGTAGCTTGTCCCTTAAGGAAGAAAATCTAGGTCCAGGCAGAGCTTTGGTGAAGATATCAGCAAGTTGATCCTTTGTGGAGATGAAGTTGACTTGGATATCGCCCGAAGCTACTCGATCACGAACAAAATGATAATCAATCTCCACATGCTTGGTGCGCGCATGAAAGATTGGATTGGCACTCATATATGTAGCTCCTAGATTATCACACCATAATTTTGGAATGGAAATACCCGGAATCTGTATCTCACGCAATAATGACATAATCCATAGAACCTCAGCACAAACATCTGCAAGAGCTTTGTATTCAGCCTCAGTGGATGACCTGGCAACAGTTCTCTGTTTCTTGCAAACCCATGATATAAGATTGCTCCCCAAGAAAACAGCAAAACCACTCGTGGATTTTCGATCGTCAGGACAACCAGCCCAATCAGAATCAGAGAAAGCATGAATGTCTCTAGATGAGCACTGTCGTATGCGTAAACCATGATCAACTGTTCCCTTAACATACCTGAGTACCCGTTTGAGCTGCTCCCAGTGTGATATGGTGGGGGCATGCATATGCTGGCATAACTGATTAACTGCAAAGGATGGGTCAGGTCGTGTGACAGTGATATATTTCAGTGCTCCAGCTAGACTCCTGTACTGTGTGGGATTATCATATAGATCTGAATTGAAGGGGACAGTTTTCGAGACAGAGATAGGTGTAGAAAGGGGTTTGCATTCAGACATTCCAGCCCGTTTTAAAATATCATTCATATACCGTTGTTGAGATAAAATAATCCCATTGTCACTCTTAACTGTTTCAATGCCCAGAAAAAAAATTTGGTTCACCAAGATCTCTGATTTTGAATGTAGCAGACAGTTTGGACAAGAGCTGAGACATAATACCTTGATCACTTCCCATTACAAGAATGTCATCCACGTACACCAATAGATAAACCAAAGCAGAGTCTTTAGAGTAATAGAACAGAGAGACATCTGTCTTGGATGCTTGAAAGCCAACCGATAATAAGAACGTATGTAGTCGATTAAACCAAGCTCTGGGAGCTTGTTTTAACCCATACAGAGATCTTTTTAACAAACAAACATGATTCGGGAAGTTAGCATCAATATAACCAGGGGGTTGCTTCATATAAACTGTTTCAGCCAGATTACCATTCAGAAAAGCATTATGAACATCTAGCTGTTTGATAGACCACCCAGATGATAAAGCTAAAGATAGAAGGAGTCTTACAGTCGTAGGCTTTACCACTGGACTAAAAGTGTCGAAGAAGTCCTGACCTGGAACCTGATTAAAACCTTTCGCAACCAGCCTGGCTTGGCTTTATGCCTTTCAATAGCACCATTAGCCTTTCTCTTCGTACGAAACACCCATTTACAGCCAATAATATTCATACCTGCAGTGGGTGGAACTAGAGACCATGTGTGGTTATGCAGGAGAGCATTGAATTCTTGGTCCATGGCTTCACGCCACTCAAGATATTTGACAGCTTGAGAGTAACATGTGGGTTCCGTGGGATGCACTTGAGCTGCTAGAGCAAAAAGAGGAGCATCTGCGTTGCTGCGAGTGGCCATAGAGTGAGTACGGACATTGGGCCTGATGGACCGCCCACGTGGACGGCCTCGCCGGCGAGCAACAGGCTCTACAGGATCACCCGACGAGGCAGCCTGTCCAGGATCCACGGCTGGTTCGAATGAAGCAGGTAGCGGCGGTTCTGGCAGCTCATCATTGGACACGGCAGGAATAAGTGTGCTGTGACTGAGAACAGATTCCGCCCAAGGTCCAGAAAACGGAGTAGATAGATCCTGCAAAGAAGTTTTAGTAGCAAAGGGGAAAACTTCTTCATCAAATCTGACATGCCTACATGTGTAAATCTTATTAGTATGTAAGTCCATGCATCTGTACCCCCTAAAGGACTCAGGATAACCTAGGAAGACACATGGAGAAGACCTGTATGACATCTTATGACGATTATATGGTCGAAGATGATAGTAGCATAAACACCCAAAGACACGAAGAAAAAGATAGGAAGGAGGGGATTTATGTAACAGGAGATGAGGACTGGAGTTATTTAATACAGAAGATGGCATTCTGTTAATTAAATAGACAGCAGTCTCAAAGGCAAAATCCCAAAATTTTAAAGGAACAGAGGCATGAGCTAGAAGAGCCAGACCAGTTTCAACAATGTGACGATGTTTTCGTTCAACACGACCATTCTGTTCATGTGTATAGGCACAGGATTGTCTATGTTGAATTCCTAATTGAACAAACAAAGAATGCAACTTTTTGTACTCAGCACCTAAATCAGACTGAATGGCCTTTATTTTGCAATTAAAGGACCGTTCAACAAGAGTACGAAATTTATCAAAGATGACATAAAGATCAGACTTTAATTTCATAGGAAAGAACCATGTATAACGGGAATAGTCATCCACAAAGATCACAAAATAACGGAAGCCAGAAGTAGATAAAGTGGGCGCAGGACCCCAAATGTCTGTGTAAATAAGATCTAGGACTTGAGAACTAGAGGAAGCAACACGGGGGAGGGGAAAACGGGCAGATTTGCCTAATTGACACGCATTGCATAAAGAATTATGACAACGAATATTATCACGAGACCCACTAACCAAACAAGAACGAAGTATATGGCTAAGAACACGGTTATGAGGATGACCTAGACGATTGTGCCAAGTGGAAGCTGAGGCACGAGCGGAAATAAACGCTGACGGAGACGAACTAGGTAATGAAAGTGTGTATAGTCCCCCCGAACTATTGCCCCGAAGAAGTATTTCCTTGGTATTGATATCTTTTACAACAAAAAAGGAGGGGTGAAACTCAAAAAAGACTTTATTAATTTTATGAATCCCAAAACCCTAGCTAACTGATACCAGATGAGAACTGATTGTATTATATTTTCTGAACTTGATTACAATGAGATCAGATGATGTGAATATATAGAATAGAGAGTCACAGTGTGACAATGATAAGAAGTAGAGAGTCACAGTGTGACAAGGATAAGAAGTTCTAAACAGACTCATATACATAGAGTCCTAATATTGTTGATTTGTTGGTAGTGTTTCAAACTAAAATAGTCATCAAATAGGCAAAACCCATTTTTAAGATGATTATTGTGTATTTGTGTTGCCAATAAAGGCTTGTTTTAATCGTCTTAAATGTACATTTATTATTTCGTATATTTATCGTTATTTATGTTTGTATGTACGCATATATACAAGAGTATACAACATGACAAAAGTTGTAACAAATTACACAAGTTTTAATGTAAAAAAATTCCATATACACACGTTCTAAGGACATTAACAGCTGGTGAAGAATGATAAACACAATATGACACAATATGACACAGTGAATAACAATCTCTCCTCTCATCCCCGGGTCTGGGGGAAACACAAATTTATCGGCAACCCCATTCTTCTACTCTGGACTCTACAACAAGTTCATACTTTTGGGTTGTGGCAACGTTCTCCTCACTTCCACTTCGCCTGGTCAAAGTAAACTAGGCGGTTGCACTTCGTGGTGTGATGCCAAAACCACGCAACTTGAACAACCTTGCAACGGCATAAACTGTTGCGAAGCTTATTTAAGCGACAATGTAAAGTTATATCAAGTCAGCTTTACAAACTTGTTTGTAAATAATACCAGCAACTATGCCTTCATTGTTGATCAAAATTGGTTCGCTAAAAGCTCACCAGTCAGCGGGCAGGAAGAGGTTATTGTTGTTCCGGTCTTGTGGCGGTGGAACATCCAACACCACTACTTGCACTTGCCTCCATCCTCCTCATACACCTGCGACGATTTAAGTTCTTCTAGTTGGTAACTGCTCTGTCGGTTTGAATGGAAAGACAATGAAGTCCAACGGTTAATTTCCAAAAGCTATGGTGTAGTGTCTGTTCTATCCGATATTCACTCAGTACTATAACTGACAATAAACGATCTATCTAATTTATCATAATAATTTCCCAATTACACGTTGGAGTTTACAATACTTTAACACTAACATTCCAAACGCGCTGGCACTGACTCCACATGCATGAACTTTCTTTAATTAATGAACTACTAATTCTTATGACTTTAATTTAATTTCCACTAAAATAGTAATTAGTACAGCGGTGTGCTATGAACCAATATTTGTATAAACCTATGCGATCAAGATGAGTGATTTGCTGGAAACCATGTGGAATATTGGTTAAGATGGATTTGTGAACAGAATTTTAGTTTGTCAACTTATCTTTAGATAAAATAGTAATTAGTACAGCGGTGGGCTATGAACCAATATTTGTATAAACCGATGCGATCAAGATGAGTGATTTGCTGGAAACCATGTGGGATATTGGTTAAGATGGATTTGTGAACAGAATTTTAGTTTGTCAACTTATCTTTAGATAAATTTGACCTAAAGTCTATTTTTTATATATATAAAGATGTTAATGAAAAAATATGAATAATTAGAATGTTTAGTTGTTTTATCTTGACTCAACCTATCTTAAAGACTCAAATAATTCGTGTGGTGTGGCTATATATGTTTGGGCTTAATATGTTTTTGTGGAATATTGGTGACATGTTTTATGGTTGTCACTCCTTTGTAATTTTCCTAGCGTATGCCCTACTTGTGTTTGTACATATTTGTTTGATCAGAATAAAAAGTACTCCATATTAGAAAACACTGACAATAACTCTAGATATAATTATGTATGATATATATAATGATATTGAATATAGACATAGTTGATACTTATATGGGTTGATATACTGTAATTTTTTTTTTATCATAAGTTAACCCCAACATGACTTTTTGGTGCTCCGTCCATGGTTATTATATTCAACCACAGGAAAAATGACACTTTTTCTTACTGACTTATATACTTATAGTATTTTTCCCTCATGAATTATTTATGTAAGCACATTAGCCTCCTCAATTATTTTAAAAGTGGTGGTTTCTCCCCTGATATATTAAATTGACATTTCTACCCTTAAAATAAACATTTTATTTATTCTTCTTCTCCAACAAATTATTGCGTATATGTAAGGATGACCATGGTTCGATTTGAACTGAACCGGACACTATAGCAATCAAATTAAAACTTTCCGGTTATGATTCAGACCTAGAACCCAATATTTGGATTTTAGTTTATTAAAATTATGAATCGAAAAAAATTGGATCCTGAACCGTGAACTGGCAGTTCCGGATCCGGTTCGCAATTTTGAGCCGTGTTAATTTTATTTTTTTTAAATAGTCTAAATTCAACAATAAATGTATTTTATTTTTTTTCAGTTCAAAACATGAACCGGCCGTTTCGGTTCATGATTTTAATAAACTCTAAATATCGGGTTTCAATTATAAATTGTAATGGGAATATTTCGATTTGATTGCTATAGTGTCTATTTGGTTTGAACCAAATTGTGGTTATAATTTGTTGGAGAAGAAAAATAAATGAAATATTTATTTGAAGGGTAAAAAGTCCATTTAACATTTCAGAGAAAAAAACAGCCACTTAAATAATTCTGGGAGAAAAAGTATTATAAGTATATATAATTCAAGAGAAAAAAGTGCTATTTTCCCTTCAACCACATCTGACTCATAATGTATGGTAGGACAGTCGCCATGATTTACATCCTCCCAAATGCTCTGTCGGGTCGGAGTGTGGGGGGCCCTTAGAGTTGGGGTTCAGCCTTTTGGAAGAATGGTAGGACAGTCGTTTTAATGTGTTGTTTTAGCATAGCCGCCATTATAGACTAGTTGAAACCTATTTATTAAAGCAAAATATTAAATGTAGTACTCCTATTTTCTACTCCCAACTTTTATTCCTACACACAAAATCTTAATAGAAACACTTGTATTAGGATTTACATGAAAAAAAAAAAAAAAAAAAAAAAAATAGTCAATCACATTAGGAAGTAAAATTTAAAAAGTATAATTTGGTAATCTATGTACTAGAACTCTTTATTAAAGTAGATTAGAGTCTTAAATTACTTTTCCCATTTAAATAATACAAGATACTCTTCACCAGCTGTTGAGCAATGAGCCTGCTGGAAATGTGTGTGAATGAAATTTGTTTATATTAAACCATAACAAATGTGAATACCTTTATAAGAAAATACCTTTATAAATATTCATTGGATGGATAGGTTCCAAGACATACAAAAGAAAAGAATAGCAACAGTACATGCACTTACATACTAACAAAAAAAAAAAAAAAAAAAAAAAAAAAAAAAGATGTGGAGTGGAAAAGAAAGATCAGTAGCAGCGTCTATGGTGATGATGAGCTTCACAGTGATGCTCACTTTGGCATTTCAAGATGATCTGCTTGATGAAGCCAATCGGTATAAGCAAGATGGGGCATCTATGGTTCCAAAAGGTTGTCCAAATAAGTGCGGCAACGTTAGCATCTATTATCCCTTCGGAATTGGGCCTAACAAAAGTTGCTATTTGAACGAATGGTTCCACATAAATTGCACCTCCTCCTTCTCCCATGGTGTCCACAAGCCCTACTTGAGGGTCTTTACTGTTGGTGGCGAAGGAGAGATTCTGGGCATTTCCTTAGAAAGTCAAACAATAACTATACAACAGTCAATCTCTCCTTTCATCCGCGGGTTTGGGGGAAACAATAATAATTCATTATCCATAATTGGGGGTAAAGCAAATTTATCTCCAACCCCATTCTTCTACTCTGGACTCTACAACAAGTTCATGCTTTTCGGTTGTGGCAATGCTCTCCTCACTTCTGATTGGCCTGATCAAAGTGATCTAGGCGGTTGCACTTCGTGGTGTGATGGCAAAACCACGCAAATTAAACAACCTTGCAACGGCAAAAACTGTTGCGAAGCTCATTTACTCGACGATGTAAAAATGTACCAACTCAACTTCACTAACTTGTTTGCAAATGCCAGCAACTATGCCTTCATTGTTGATCAAGATTGGTTCGCTAAAAGCTCACCAGGCAGCTGGCAGAAAGAGGTAGTTGTTCCGGTGGTGTGGCGGTGGAGCATCCTAGACGACTACTTGCACTTGCTTCCATCCTCCTCGTACACCTGCGACAATTTCAGTTATGCAAGTACTACCTATTGGAATTGTTACTGCATATATCCCAAAAAAGGGAACCCTTACTTAGCAAATGGATGTCAAGGTATATATATATATATTCTCTATATTTTGTTGGCTGGCTCAAGATTTTGTTGTTTTACTCATCTGCATTTAATTTTCTTCTAATGCAGATGATGATGATGATGTCAAGCAACAATCAATTATTATTGGTAAGTTTAACCGTACGTTTGAATTACATATGCTAGTATAATATAATAAATAAACATACATTAAGCATTCATGTTAATCTAAATCTAGATCATATTATTGACATTATTCTCTTCACTCGCATCACTCAATCTCAGGTGTTAGTGCAAGTTGTGGATTTTTGCTATTATTGTTGGCTTGCTTTATCCTCTATAAGGCCATCAAGAAGAGAAAGATGAAGAAAATGAGGCACAAGTTCTTCAAGCGTAATGGAGGTCTCCTATTACAGCAACAACTCTTAGCCAAAGAAGGGACCATAGAGAAGACAAAGATTTTTACAGCAAGTGAGTTGGATAAGGCCACAGATCACTTCAACGCCAATAGAATATTAGGTCGAGGTGGGCAAGGCACAGTATACAAAGGAATGTTAATTGATGGGCAAATCGTTGCAGTTAAAAAATCGCAGGCAGTACACAAGAACCAATTGGAGTCATTCATCAATGAGGTTGTCATTCTTTCCCAAATCAATCATAGAAATGTCGTGAAATTACTAGGGTGCTGTTTGGAGACGGAAGTTCCCATTTTGGTTTATGAATTTATACAAAATGGAACGCTTTTCAGCCTTATTCATAACAATTTTGGGGATGATAAGCTCATTCCTCTTTCGTGGGATATTCGTCTCAGGATTGCATCAGAGACTGCTAATGCATTGGCTTATCTCCATTCAGCAACATCAATTCCTATTTACCATAGAGACATCAAGTCGAGTAACATCCTTTTGGATGAGAAATTTCGAGCTAAGGTTTCAGATTTTGGAACATCGAGCTCCATTTCAATTGACCAAACTCACTTGACTACCGTAGTGAAGGGGACATTTGGCTATTTGGATCCCGAGTATTTCCGGTCAAGTCAATTCACGGATAAGAGTGATGTTTATAGCTTCGGAGTTGTCCTTGTTGAACTCCTCACCGGACAAAAGCCAATTTCCTTTGAAGTTAATGATGATGAGGATCGAAGCTTGGTAACACGTTTTCTATTGTCCATGGAAGAAAATCGTATCATGGAGATTCTTGACAAGGAAGTTTTAAAGAAAGGTAAAAAGGAAGATGTTATGACAATTGCTTGGCTTGCACAGCGTTGCTTGAATTTAAATGGGAAGAAAAGGCCTAACATGAAAGAAGTGGTCATAGAGTTGGACACCATTATAGCATCTCAGCCTTGTCTCCCATTAGTAGAAACATTGAAAATTGAGTAAGACGTGCTATCATAATTATTTTTCCTTAGTTTAATGTATTAAACACTCTTTATTTATTTAGTTTAATAATAATATGCTTTTACTTTCAAAACTCTATACTATATATTTTCCTCCGGTAAAGAGAATTAGAGAAAGTATATTTCGTTTTTAAAAAAAAAAAAAAAAAAACAAAAAAAAAAAACAAAGACTTAATGCATTATGTGTTAAAATAATGTACATTATGTTTTAGAATAATGTACATTATGTATTAAAATAATGTACGTACATTACATTTTAGAATAATGAAGCATATGGGGTAATATAATGAACATTATGTTTTAAAATAATGAACATTATACTTTAGAATAATGTACATTATATTTTAGAATAATATACATTATGAATTATAAAAATGTATATTGCAACTGGGCGCATAAAAAATAAAATTAAGCAAATAGACGTTATTTTTGGACAGCTGTGTGGACCACGATCCACGCTGGTTGATGCTTATATGGGATGATATATTGTAATTTTTCATCATATCTTAACTCCAAGTCTCCAACATGACTTTTTGGTGCTCCGTCCATATATGGTTATTATATTCAACCCCATCTGTCTCATAATGTATAGTGGACAGTCGTTTTAATTTAATGTGTTGTTTCAGCATAGCCGCCTGGAATGTCAAAGTAGAGTCTTCTTTTTCCATTGAAATAATAATACGTAGTCAATTAAGATAATCTCCACCGGCTGTTGAGTAATGAGCATGCTGGAAAAGTGTGTATCAATTGAATTTGTTTATATTAAATCATGTCAAATGTGAATGCCTTTATGAGAAAATAAAGAATAAATTATTAGCAGACATGATTATATTATTCGAAATTTGAGTTCTTTCCATCATTATAAATTACTTGAAACTTATTTATTGTTAAAATATTATTGGGCGGTGGTTGTTTAACTCCCATTTTTGTCAGAGTTGGACGCTATTAGAGCATCTTTCTCAGCCTCATAATCTCTCCTTGGCATGGAAAACATTATATTGGAAGCTGAATCAGATTTCATGTCTTAAAATTTTATTATTTTACTACTTTTCTTTAAGTGAACAAAAACTTGGTTAAAACTATATTCACTGTGTCATATTCAAGCACACCTCTCTCATAATGTTAATTTCCTTAACATGTGTGTATATGGAATTTTTTACATTAAATATTGTGTAATTTGTTACAACTTGTGACATGTTGTATACTTGTATATATGGGTACATACAAACATAGATAACGATAAATATATGAAATTATAAATGTACATTTAAGACAATGAGAACAAGCCTTTGTTGGCAACATATGTCCACTGATGAACTTAGAAATAGGTTTTGCCTAGTTGATGACTAATTTAGTGTTTTTTTTTTTTTTTGGTGAAGATGACTAATTTAATTAGTTTGAAACAGTATCAACCAATGTTGCAAAAATCGCGCCGCCCGGCCGCAGACGATTCGGCCGAAATCAGCCTCCTTCGTGACCGGGCGGCTTGATTTGTGGTTGTCACTCCTTTGTAATTTTCTTAGGGTATGCCTTACTGGTGTTTGTACATATTTGTTTGCTTGGAATAAAAAGAAGTACTCCGTATTAGAAAACATTGTTAATAGTATAATTATGTATGATATATATAATGATATCGAATATAGACATAGTTGATGCATATATGGATTGATATATTGTAATTTTTCATCATAACTTAACCCCAACATGACTTTTTGGTGCTCCGTCCATGGTTATTATATTCAACCGCATCTGACTCATAATGTATAATAGGACAGTCATTTTAATGTGTTGTTTCAGCATAGCCGCCATTATAGACTACAAAAACCTATTTATTAAACTAGATCAGTCTTAATTTAATTTATTTTTCCGATCCCATTTAAATAATACAAGATACTCTTTACCAGTTGTTGAGCAATGAGCCTGCTGGAAATGTGTGTGAATGAAATTTGTTTATATTAAATCATGACAAAGGTGAATACCTTTATGAGAAAATACAGAATAAATTACTAGGCGCAATTATATTAGGGAAAATGGCACTTTTTCCCCCTTTGTTATATACTTATAGCACTTTTTCCCCCTAAATTATTTAAGTGGCAGTTTTTCCCCCAGATATATTAAATGGACATATTTACCCTTCAAATAAATATTTCATTTATTTTTCTTCTCCAACAAATTATAACCACGATTTGAAAAAATAAAATACATTAAGTGTTGAATTTAGAATATTTTAAAAATAAAAAAATAAAATTTTAAAAGAAAGTTTGAACCAACCGTTCAAATTGGATCCAAAATCGTGAACCGACGGTTCAAAATAAAACTCAAACCGCGATTATATATACTTATATGTGAGAGTCAATATAAATACGGAAAAAAACATACACTATTTACAAATATTATAATTATAATTTAAGCTATTGCTAGTAGTTGTTCCGATTTGAACCTCCGGTTCACGGTTTAGGATCCATTTTTTTCCAGTTCACGATTTTAATAAACGGAAACTCAAATATTGGGTTATGTTATGAATCATAATCGAAATTTTTTAATTTGATTGCTATAGTGTTTGGTTCAGTTCGAACCGAACCGTGGTCATCCCTACGTATAAGCAATAATTTGTTGAAGAAGAGAAATAAATAAAACATTTGTTTTAAGGGTAGAAATGTCCATTTAATATTATCAGGGGGAAAAACCGCCACTTTTATAATAATTGTGGGGGCAAATATGAATGCATGAATAACACAGGAGGAAAAAGTGCTATAAGCATATAACACAGAGGGAAAAAGTGCCATTTTCCCATTATATTATTTAAAATTTGAGCTTTTTCTGTCATTGTAGACTTGTTGAAACCTATTCATTGTTAAAATAATTATTGAGCCAGGGTTGCTCAGCTCCCATTTTTGTCAGGTTGTTATGTTGTTCGAATTTGATTTTAGGTATTGCCACTATTTGAAGAAATGAAAAAGCTAATAAGTCATTTTTACAAAGTCGAAATTAATTAATTTGGTTGTGTTGCAGCCCATCCAAGTAAAACACAATTATTATTGTATGGACCATAGTCCACACAAGTTATGTAAATCATATTTTGTATACTGTAAAATAATGTACATTCAGTACAAAAATAATGTTCATTGTATTTAGGGTATGTACATTATTTTTATACTGAATGTACGTTATATTATATAATGTATATTCAGTACAAAAATAATGTACATTTAGTATATTAAAAATATATTTTTTGTTATGGTCCATATATAACACTGTGTTGCCAGTAAAACATGCTATCTCAGCTCCATTATAAATATTCATTATATTGGATGGATAGGTTCCAAGACATACACAAGAAAAGAATAGGAACAGTACATACATGCACTTACATACCCAAAAAGGAAAAGATGTGGAGTGGAAAACAGGGGACGGAGCCAGAAAACTTGAGTTGGGGGGGGCCAATGTAGTAGATAAAATTTACAATGTTAGTCCACATTATAACTAATTGCACCATATTATTATATATATCATACATTATTGTGATTATTATTGATAATGATTTCTAATTATACTATGTGTACTAAAGTATGAAATACATAATTATATGACTACGATCGACACAGTTGTCGATCGTTACTTTATAATTTTTTTTACATAACACAAAATATAATAATAAAAATAACAACATTTATTTAAATATAGATTGTCACTTAACATCAAATAAAAAATTTTGTCAATTATTTTATCACCAAATTTTTCATAATTGACTTATATTCATTTTACTGGTTAATTGAATATTTCAAAATTTGAGAGATAAAACAAAAATCAAGATGAATTAAATAATCAATATTAATTTTTGTCAATTTCAAAACTAATTATTTAAACTAGTAAATGTACATTTTAAAAATGTAAATAAATAATTAAAACACACAATAAATCACTATAACTAATAAAACCAAAGCATATATCTCAAATTTGGAGATTTTTTTTTAAATTAAAATGCATACTTGATGCCATTCATTATTAAAATCTTGATAAAAGAAATAAGATAATAAAGAAAAATGATCACTTTAATTATTTGATTTATTTCATTTTATTTAGTGAATTGAACTTTAATATATATTTTGAGTTTATTTAATATAAACATAATAGATTTTTCTTATAAAAAAAAAAAATAGAAGGGGACCAAAAGTGTATTTTATCCCTACTACATCAATATATACATACATATTTACTAAAAAAATTTAAGGTGAGGATAGGAGTGGGGTGAGGGTGGGGGGCCAAGGCCCCCCTACCCCTTAAGGTGCCTCCGTCCCTGTCGTTCTGGAAAAGAAAGATTAGTAGCGGTGGCTATATGGTGATGATGAGCTTCACAGTGATGTTCAGTTTGGCATATGAATATGATATGTCTGATGAAGCCGATCGGTATAAGATGGGGTATCTATGGTTCCAAAGGGTTGTCCAGATAAGTACGGCAACGTTAGCATCTTAATGCGTAGTATATTTGCAAACAAATAAAATTTGAAGTGGTTGTATAAAACACTAGTTACTAATTTATTCATTAGAGCTAATCCTAACATTGCTTGGATGATTGATTTGCATAAAATAAATAAAACAAAACAGAGATTCAGGATTTTGAAAACAATTAGAGAGAAGATGATATTCCTTAGATTCAAGTATTTAATCACCTAGTGCCAAATCTTAAGGACAATATTAAATCTGGGTTTAACAAGTGTGAGGATGCAAGGTGGTATAGAGCTACTCTCGTAGTCACTAACACTAGTGAATTTCTACTCTCGTGGCTTAATTAAACACCCAATAAAACAAGATCAAGCATCATAAATTCCTAACTACTACCATCTCTCGATGCGCAATAATAAGAATTAAACTCCCTAACAAAATTACCAATTTTCTCAAGGTGCAACAGTTATGTGCAATTGTGTGTGCCCTAAATTATACCCAACTCCACAACAAAGATAGCAAACGAAACAAGTAACTGTGGCCACTAATTACAAGCATCAAATAATAAAATTACAATTGCAACACAAGCATTAAACCCAAATAATAATATATTAAAGAATCTAAGAGCTCAGGCACATAGGTTCATTAACCAAAGAATCTCTAAAAGATTTAGTCAAGGCTAAATTATACATAGCAAATATTAATAAAGAAAATACAAATTATCAAAAGAGTACAAGAATGAACTAGACGATTCTCTCGAATCTTCCTAGTCTTCTTCTTGCTTCCCAAGACAACTTGTGGCTTTTGATTTCTCCATATCTTGTCTCTAAAGATCTCTGAATTCTGAATTAGGGTTGAGAAATGTGGAATTTTATAGTGGGAGTCAATCCAGGGCGAAATTGAAATTTCCTTTCTTTTATTTGGAATTACCGCCATCTTCTATTTCAATTTAGAAAGTGATATAATTTGGATTTTGGAGAATGCCAAGTTGCCAACCCTTTTAGCTTTGGAAATTGAAGCTTTTTAACTTTAGGAATTGGAGCCTTTTTACTTTGGAATGCAACAGCTTTCTAAATCTGGAGTCCAGCGCCTTTAATTTTTGGAATGCAGCGACTTTATTTTCCTTGGGCACATTCTCGACTCGTCGAGCTCTAATGGTCTCAATCGCGATTGCTTTTGTAAATTTTTGACGTGTCGAGTCTTTTACTGGGTCCCGAACTTGTTCAAAAATTACTCCAAACTCATCTTTGAACTCCTCTTGCTCATAACTTTGACCTACAATGGTTCAAAAACACTAACAAACGCCGTAAAACTAACATTCAAAACGAGTGTGAACCACAACTAAATAATAAAATAAAAGATTATGCAATTAAATTATCACAATCATGACCCTAAGCCTAACAATTATAAATAAATCAAAGTTAGTTTTCTCCAGCATAATGTGTTAGACACTCTTTATTCAGTTAAGTAACATTATGCTTTTACTTGCATAGCTCTATATATACTGATTTTCTCCGGTAAAGACAGTATATTTTACATATTTTGGACACAGTTGAAAGTGTGTATTTAATTAGCTGAGATCCTCATGCATGTGAGCTATTTTTTTTTTTTTTCATATTTTTGTTAAGATAAATAAAATAATAAATACATATTATCAATATAATAATTAAAAATTTTTGTTACAGAAAAATAAATCATTCAATATAATATAATATCTAAAAAAAAAAAAATTGACATATTAATATGTTCTTCTGGGAAAACTTCGAAGACGATGCTCTAATGACGTGCCACTTCTAAATTGTTATGGATAAAGCTGAAAATTATTCCATTTGGTATAAATTCATAAACCAATAGTTTCACTTTCTCATCTTCTACTACTCTTAGAGCATCTCAATGTAGTGTTATGTGACAAGATGTTGGTATTGTTGGATCAGTCCAATTTCATAAGCTAAGGTTCACTGAGCCTCAAGCCCAATGCAAGGACATACCCACAATTATTATACCATGAACTTTGGTCTATCTTGTACGGTAGATCCTTATTAAAAAATTATATGTCTACAATTACATACGTAGTATTATGTATTTTACTCTTTAGTTAATATATTGTGTCTGTAAATAAATGGAAGACATATAATATATTAAATGCATATTATGTATATGCAATTAACATATTATGTGCTTTCGATTTATTTACATGTACATAATTTGTCAACTACAAATGCATAATATGTTGCAGACACATAATCTAAATGTGACTTTGATTCACAATGCAAGGTGAACCTTGATCCATCGTATAATTTGTCAATTCAAGGTCATGGAAAAATTATATCATGAAATAGGGTCATATTGCATAACCCAAGTTCATAAAAAATAATTTGTTAGTTTCATATAAAATTTAGATTTATAAAAATGATATTGCAACTTTATAAAAAGATAATGGCATCAATTGACCAAATGGCTTGTTATATGTAATCTTTTAAATGATATTTATATTAATATATGCTTTCAATATACCATCCCAATAATTGTGTGATAACTTGCAATAATGACGTTATCTGCCCATCATATGAGAATAATAAGGATTCATGTAAAGTCCACCTTTGCTGATCTAGTAGCTAGTGTAATTGAATTAGTTTTAATTAATTTTTCCTTTGTTTTTTGGGCATGGAGGGGTTTTTTTTTTTTTTTTTTTTTTTTGAAATCTTCCTAGTATTTGCAGATTTGTCATTATATGCAAACATTATATTTCTTGGCATCTATACAAATTAAAACATGGTCAACTGAACTTCAAGACTTATAGCTTTATATAAGTGGCAAAAATCTTGAAGTCAACAACTTTTTTTAATCATGGGATCATATAAATTTATAGTGAAATTAATAATATATATGTTCATCATATCATTAATACTTCATCTTTCCTATATGTTTCTGATCTCAATCCAACTTCATTATATGTATCTTTAGGTTTTAATTTGTTGTTATGGAATTGAAGTTAATTAATGACATAACTAATCTGAAATTAGTATACCAAACCAGCCAAGTTGGTGACCAAGACTAACAATAACTCAAATCAATCATCCATGCATGGAACACCACCATTAGTATCAACTTATTCATAACCACCCTAATTAAGATAATCCATTTTGTAATCATTAGTTCTCCAAGATTGTTTACCTATTTCTACATCATCTAAACAACCAATTGTTATATGTCCACTAGGATGCACAATCCCTAAAAATCCTTTGTTTCGTATGTACATATATAATTGTATAATAGAATACACATAAACTCCTAACATAATACACGTAATCTAACATAATACATAATACACATAAACTCTTAACATAATCACATAAACTTTTAAGGCGCGCAATGCAGTGTGCACCATGGTGCACGATATAAAATTTGCCCTAAACAACACAACTAAACTAAAACCTAATGGATGGTACACTAGGTCTGGGCCACACGGACCAGCCCAAGAAAACAATGGATCAGGGAAGTCCAAGAACAATACACTAGTAAGTCAAGAGTTTGATAAGGATTGGACTCATTATTTCTAATATAATAGAATTAGGTCTTATTATTCATAATGTAACAAAGACTCTCAATATGAGGCAGTTTAGAATTCTTATTTCTGGTAGAATTCTAGGGTCCAAAATATGTATAAATAGACCCATACATAAGAGTGAGGAGACAATTCTCTATTTACGAGCAATATTCATTAATACAAAGTTTTTATATATTCTCCGTATAGACTGCCCAAAAGTTATAAAAGCAACAAAACCATCACAGCTTCATAAATTAAACCTGTCCGGCCTGTACTGTGCAAAATGGCTATAGGTCCATCCCCTCTGATTCCTCTTCTCATAGTAGCCACCTTGGGATTACTCCTCCATGGCGAAACCATGATGGCATATTTCTCATACGCTCTTGAAGTTTCAGAAGACACCTCCTTCTTCTTCGCAGCCTTCATGGTCTTTCCGGTTTTAGTCATGCTGGTACTGTACACCCAGGCAATCTTTCTGCCTGTACTTACACTCCTTTTGGTCATGTACTGGCTTGCCAAGATTCTGCTTGGCCCTCTATTCTTGGTGTTTCTTGTGTGCTTGGCTGTCTTTCTTGGGTCTACTTCGTCTTCTCAGCAATGGCAGTTTAGTTATCGGAGGAGCGGTGTGCGCGTTAACGGCGGATGGGGTGGCGATGAGTTTGGAGGGTGGGGATGGTGGCTGCTGCTGTTGGTGGCGTTTCTGGTTTTGCGTGGAGTTTTTTCTTTCGGAGAAGGAAATGGATGGGCTTTTGCCCTTCTGGCTGTGTTTCTTTTTGTCCTCTATAACTTCTCTAATCTTAATGACTAAATTAAAGTCTTCCATTTTTGTACTCATCTAATTTAATGACTTCTAGCTCTAATCACAAGAAGTTAGTCCTTTTTTTTTTTTAATTTTTTAACTGATGTAAAAACTGCAGCTATTACTCGATTGACTGAAGTTATTTATAATTTAATTTTTCATAATATATATTACGTTTAAAATTAGAGTAAATGACAGTCATGGTTCTCCGAGTTTTGTGGTTTTACTACTTTTAATCTTAAATTTTCAAATTGACCTTCCGTGTGATATTCTGTCTGAGCCATGAAAAATAAGGGCAAAATGGTCTTTTTATTACCACCCAGCCAAAACAGTTCATTTCCCTCTAATTATTTTCAATTGCAATTTTTTTCGTTCAATTGCAATTTTTCCCCCTCAGAAATTCATTCAATTGCAATTTTTTTCGGTGGATTAGGACTAATTTTTGAGGAAAAATGAATTGTTTTGACTGAAATTACAATAAAAGGATTGTTTTTCTCTTAATTCATAAAGACTATAACAGGTCGAATTCGAAAAAAATTTAGAATAAAACATGATAAAACTACTAAACTCAGAAAACCTTAGCTAATATTTATTCTTTAAAATTAATATGTAAAATTTATATATTTAGAAACTTTACTTTTACTCGTTATCAATGTTTAATTTTTTTGTTGAGAATGGTATCTATGTTTAATAGATTCAAATCCATAATAAAAATCATAGGGGGTTCAAAGTTGACACGTGTACTACATGCGAAGTAAACTTTATGAATCCACAGGTAAGACTTTATGACAGTAAACAACGGTCCAAAGTCATCGCCAAAAGACGCTAAAGACCAGAGGGAAAGCAAGAAAATCCTTTGGTTAACCGAACCAGACACCAAGCAAAAGCTAAGTACTTTCGTGCCATGGCGGCAGGGGACCAGCAAGAACTCGACCCCTTCGGGAAGCTCTTCTCGTCGTATCTTGGCCTAAGCTTCGCGCTCTCTCTCGCCCACTTACCCACACAAGCAATCTCTGCACTCTCAAGGCTCAAGACCCACAACAGGGAGCTGACGTTTCAGGTGTCAGAGGCGGAGGAGCAGCTAAAGGAGCTGCTTTTACGGCGGAAAGAGGACTCCAAGGCCAATGCGAGGGTTGTGGAGATCTTCGCGACCCACAGGCACGCCTGGCAGCGGAAAGAGAGGAGGCTGTTGCAGCAGATCGACGAGGAGGCTGAGGAGGTTGCGCGGCTGAGGGAGAGGGTGGCGGAGCTGGAAAAGACGGAGGCCGAGCTCAAAAGGGCGGTGGGCGAGAGAGATGAGATGCTGGGTTTCTTGAGTAGTAGTGTAAAGACTGTAAAGACGGCACCTTTTTCTTCTCGCGAGGTGGATTCTGGGAATGGTGGTTGCTATTCTGAGATGGGGCTGAGATTTGGGGAAATGGGTGTTTGTGAAGAGATGGAGGAATGTTTCTTGGGGGGAAGGGTTAATAGTGTGGAGGAGAAGAATATGTTCAGCCCAGATTTCTTGAATTCTGCTTCCAAATTCTGGACTGAAAGAGCCAGTCCTTGGCCGGTAATATTTCTTTAATGTTTCTGTTCTTTAATTTCGTTAAAGTCTGCTAATTTGGTCTTAATTGTTCTGAACTTCTGATCTTGTCTCTTTTTGCTTGGCTTCTTGTTCCACTGTAATGTGAAAATGGAGTTTGATGAAGATTTGAAGAGCACATTCCTTTGAGTTCTATGAAGAACTCCTAGGATCTTTCTTGGACTTTTGTCTTTAACAGCAATATTGTACAATCTGTGCTCTGAAATCATCTTACTAAATGCCCAAATTCGAATTTTGAATCTTCCCAATTCACTGCCAAATTGAGATTGAAATATTTGCCTAATAATTGCACTCTCGGAATCTGGGTTGCCTTTTTTATGATCCATGTTGTTTAGTGCATACATTTACTATCCCTACTTTGTCTCATTCATTGTCATCTTTCTTCTTCCTTTGTCTTTCTTATCCATAGTTTGAAATGTTAATCTTATTGTTGTGTTTTTTCTTGAAAGACAAAAACTTTAGAGTAAAGACTGTAAGTTATTGGTTTGCTGGACCACCATTACTAAGAAAATGTCATTATTATTATTTTACTGCATTATGGTCCCCCTCCATTCTGACTAACCCTCATGAACAAAAGTAATGTAGGATTGCTGAAGATTTAGATATGTTAAACTTGATCAGTCTAGATTTAGAATGAGATTTGCTTTCTTGAAAGTATTTATATTGATTCGATGTCTTTTTTTTTTTGGAAGGATATGCAGTATGAATCTCGAGAATCGCTGTATAATTCGAAGCATTATGTAACAAGGTAAATTTCTCTTATTAAGCTCGGTTCTATTGTGTATGTTGATCATATTGAAACTGATGTGATCGAGCACAACGTTTCTAATGCTGAAGGGAGGCTGCTTGGAAAGAATCAGCCGGGGTGTCGTCTAAATTGAAACAACTCGAGCTGGAGCTATTGAATCTGGAAATAGTTGGAAAGCCCGATCTATCGAAGGTAACATCGCTAATGCAAAAGCAGGCAGAGATATACCGAGCTATTTCTGGGAAGATTGATGATCTTTGCCAAAGAATGGTAAGGCCTATGTGTTGAGCATATAACCATTAATGTGCAATCCAACTATCAGCTTAGGCTTTTAGTTGAGATGGAACACATGCTTCAATTTGGTATCAGAGCCATACGACAAATTGTGCATGTGAGTATAGAGTATTACTTAAAGAATTGTTCGTTTTAACAGCAGGATAGTGATCCCTGTGAACCAGCCCCGCTCGGTTCAGAGTTTCGAACACAAAAGCAAACAGATTTTCTGCTCGAAGCATTCCGGCTCCAGCAGCATGCATCTGAAACCGGGCAGAAACTCTTGGCACTACAGTCTAAAACGGGGAAGGCTCGTTGTGGGGATGATAGCGAAGGCCAAGCGAGCGTAGCTGCGAGAAGATCGATCGACCTAATCAGAAACACCTTCAAAGAAATCCAAAGAAGTTTAGAAATATGGCTGGCGAGAATCATCGGAGATCTTGAAGGTATTCTGGCCCGAGATGGCGTTTCTCGTGCTAAGGACTATTTCATATCTAGCTATCCTCTTGTTCAGCAGTAGTAAGATCCTAACTTGTTTTACAGTGTCATCATCATCATGAACAAAACAATAAACAGTTCCCCCACTCCTCCCCCTTTTGACCTCTGTGGTTTTTAGCTGTACATATAGCTCCAGTTTTAACAGCAAAGATTTGAAGGAGTTGAATATCTGATCTGGTTAGAATGTTGTCACAAAGGATGTCTTACAATGGAACATTTCAAATGCTTTTTTTTTTTTTTTTTTTTTTTTGTCGGACCACATGGTGTCCTGAGTAAGCCCTAACTCACACCGGGCCGGTCCAATTAAGGGATAAAGTGCTGGCTATATTGTTTTGCCCGTACCGTACTCATATTAATCCCGCTCGCACCGGGGCCAGTCCAATTAAGGGATAAAGTGATGGTATTATTGTTGTCTTGATACACCTAAAAGGAAATATTTTTACAAGTAAATGCAGTCATCATTATTGGGCGATCGGGAAACCTTGAACCACTATTCGAGAGCTTGTAGTAGGTGAATCTTATTACTGGTTAATAACTTACAGACTATACATAATAGATAAACCGTATTAAGAAAAATCCTATACAATAGACTCATTTGGAAAAAATTTGACAAGAAAAATAATGTTATTTTAATACAAGATTATGTCACATCTCATATCCATCTTAGATACAAGATCTGACACCAAGTTGGCTTCATCACCAGCAAGATAATACCCAAAAATAAATGAAATTCAAGAAATGAATGGAATCTTAATGTGAAAAATAGTATAGTCCAAGCAACTAGACTACTGTCTAGCTGTCCCTCATCCTCAAGTCTCAGCAGTCAACACCAGCAGTCTGCTATGGTCAGTATTCACATAGATAAATTTATTTATTATGCAATATTCTAAACTTGTATGGTGTCACACTATATATACTATACGAGTTAATACCGAAAATGGTCCCTCGGCTATGCCATAATTATCAATTTGGTTTTCAACTACCATTCTTACCCAATTAAATCCTCAACTATGTAACTTTTACTGAATTAAGTCCTCAACTATACAATTCTTACCCAATTTAGTCCTCAACTATACAATTCTTACCCAATTTAGTCATCTGTATTAATTTGACTGTTTGTTGACTGTCAAAAATCGGGATAAAATTATAATTTTACAAGATTTCCCCTTCCACTCTATTTAGCAGCGCCAAACCATGCAGCAATACACTCTGATCAGACTTCGATCGTCAAAAAATCGTTGGAAATCAAATTCATGGGCTATCCGATGCATAACCACTACTTCGATACTGACAGGTTTAGAACCCAACCGGAACTTATTGCTACATGGTTTGGCGCTGCTAAATGAGGAGGAAGGAAAAAACTTGTAAAATTACAACTTTATTTCCACTTTTGACAGTCAACAAACAGTCAAATTGACAAAGGACTAAATTGGGTAAAAATTGTATAGTTGATGACTTAATTGGGTAAGAATGATAGTCGAGGACCAAATTGGTAATTACGACATAGTCGAGGGACTATTTTGGGTATTAACTCTATACTACTATAATGTAAAAATAAACAGTAAATCCACCAAAATAGTAAGCCTGCTATTATAAGTATGATCTAGAATAAAATGTACCTTTTTGAATACAATATAACTGGTTAATCAATTAAAAAAATTATAAATTTTACTTTGTTGTACCAGTATATTTTGAAAAACCTTAAATCATTGATACAAACTCTGATATTTACTTTTTCTATCAAAACTTTTTTGAATGCTATTGATTTTATTACATTGTAGTATCTGTTCAAACATACTTTACAACACATCTACTGAGGCTCAATCTCATGACTTCCCATATAGGAAAAGTCACTACATGTCATCTGAGCACAAGGTACTTGACTTTATCAAAACTTTAAAATTAGCTAGAATGGTGAAAACTTTTAAAATTGGAATGTAATTATTTAAAATGTACAATTTTCTCCTTTAGGTAATTAATAATATGGCAGCAATCACAGTAGTAGATTCACAAGAGATTTTTCCTAAAAGTCTAAAAGCTATAATCATACTTGGGGGCTCACATATCGATCAACTCCAAAACCTCCCTTTTTTCTTTTTCATAATGTTCAACATGCACGCATCTATCATACATGTTTTCCACATAATACACGCACAAAACACTTTCGGCGTATACATTATTTGACTTCATTCTCCTAATCCAACCCTCTATATTTAACTTTGATTCACAAAAAACCTCACAACACAACCCTTAGGTCCGATTCAAGTGAGAATCATTGCTTGGATATGGACCTATAAACTCTTATATACCATTGAGATGTGAGATTGAACGGTCCAGATTTAAGGAATGGTGAATGATGCATCTGATGCAGTTGTGTAGTAGTGCACTGGTGCAGTGATGTATATTTACCAAGTTAAATCATTATAAACCATAAGACCGAGTAAGATTAACGGTGCATAATGATACACATGTTCACATATTTGAACCTAATTATATGTGTATGATTTCAGTGGATGAAATCTAGTTTTATATGCTTGAGCGTGCGTACTAACTTGATTACTGCTTTCTCACCAGTTTCTAAAGTTGGAAGCTTCCATGCCCCATCCTTATAATTGTGCCTGCCTACCTGTTTTCAGTTTAAAACCATGATTATCCTACCTTAATCATGCTAATTATAGCCACTTGTCTTTTCCGCTTTTAAAGTTTTATGTTTTTTTCACCTATTTTTTCACCTATGTGTGCTCTGTGTAATGGTTTGTAAATTAAACTACGCATGTCACTGCTGAAAATTATGAAATTTCTGACCATCTGAAAGTGATCTTAAATCAAGTCGAAAGTCTTGTTCCGACCACTTTTGGTATTCGGAAAAACCTTTGTTGTTATTTTTGACCACTTTTTTACTTTCGACTTGATTTAAGATCACTTTCAGGTGGTCGGAAATTCCATAATTTTCAGCAGTGGGAAGATGTAAACTATGCTAGGAAGACTATGTGTTACAAACTCGACTGATAAAAGTATTGTCAAGAATTAAACTCTTCACCTTTCATATAATTTATATAAAGTCGCGTGATTTTAAGATACATTATCTTTAACTAAATTCCCATTAACTTCCTATACTACCCTAATTAATCACTCCCCCACCAACTACCATCTTGTGGGAAGAAAATATATAGCATCCTAATCTATGAATAGTCTGCTTCCATTGTTGTTTTCTCCATTATTCAATTCTTTCCCTCTGGTCTCTAACTACCCCTCTCATTCTTTCCCCGTTTTTTCCTTGATAATAATCCTTGTGAAGCTGCTTTCCTAAGCCAGCTGATGTTGCCAGCTGAAGCAGAAACTGGAAGGCCAGGCGACTCTGAGAAGACGCTGCAATCCGCCATTGTTGAGCTCTCCAATGGGGGAAAACAGCAGCAGCAAGTTGCAGCAGAAGCAACAGTAACCCCTGCAGAAGATAACAGTACTGCAGCCTCTGATAATAAGTCCATAAAGATTGCTTCAAACGCCAGTCATCAGGTAATCAATGATGGATATTACATGCATTTATGATGAAGAACTGGCCCATATATATATATATATATATATATATATATATATATATATATATATAGATCGAAAGGTTGAGTGTGGGTGTAGTGACTCGACAAATATCTGGATTCGAATTTTCAATGGAAAGAATTTCGATCAGCTTTAGAGTAAAAAGCAAACACTCAGACCCTATTTCACTAAGGCATATTCTGCGATTTATTTCCTCTCACAATCCTTAGGACAGGGTGAGAGGAGCACCCAAGTTTAAGGTTTAAATCTAGGGAAAATTGTAAAAATTGCCCCTCTATAATATGCCAATTATCAATGTCACCCTTGAATTATGAGTGGTGTAAATGTTGCCCCTCAATTATCAAAACGGTGCACATATAGCCCCTCCCGTAACGGACATGTAGTTCCCCGTTAGTGTACGACACCGTTAAGTCGGAGTAAATATGTAATTTAGTTGTTTTCTTCCCTCCCTCGATTCGAAGTACCGGCGATTGACAACGGTGGGAAACCACATGTCCGTTACGAGAGGGGCTATATGTGTACCATTTTAATAATTGAGGGACAACATTTACACCACTCATAATTCAGGGGTAACATTGATAATTGGCATATTATAGAGGGACATTTTTTACAATTTTCCCTTAAATCTATATATCAACCATATGTGCAAGTTGTAGTCTAGGGTAAAGTCTATGTGTTCCTTCTATGTGTTTTTAATTGAATGCTTTATTGCATTTTATTCTTACATGAACTAAATATTTATCAAATTGTGTGATCCAAACTTATAATATACTAATTTCATCTAGATTGTGATGCAAATTTAGGATGTCTTTGGTTGGTGGGTTTTGCCCATAGGAATGGGTATGAAAGTGATTATTGTTGTTTGCTTGATAGGTTTTTAGAACACTACTATGGGTTTCGAATACCCTATCAATTGAAAAACTCATACCCAAATACAATAAGGGTTTCATTCCCTTATTCATTCTCAAGCACGACTATTAGTAACCATTCCCATTCCACCCTACTACCAAACATGTTAAATATTTTCACCAAAACTCATTACCATTACCAAGTATTTGATACCCATACCGATTCCGATTCCTATGTGCGAACCAAACATACCCTTAGTGTTTTCAACATTTGAGTAAGTTTCTATCTACATCATGGTATAGATTTAGTCCTTCAAGTATTCATGATATATACATTTAATTTCTAGATTCTGAGCGAAATAGTGAAACTCTTATTTTGTCAAAAATTTAAGAACGAAATGTATAAATTTATGCCATTATATATATATATATATATATATATATATATATATATATATATATATATATGTGTGTGTGTGTGTGTGTGTGTGTGTGTGTAACTAAATCTATATTGCAAAAGCAAGTAATAATAAAATATCAATTCCACTTTCAAAAAATAAAATATCAAGTACTTGTAGGGATATTATTATTACTTTAGAGATCGACTTTAATTAATTATTCTTTGCAACAATTTTTTTGTAGTACAATTTTATCAAATATAAATACTTTTACATGATAAAATGGATAAAAGAATCTATTTTTTAATGAAAATTTAGTTGAATTATGGATTGTGGATGCATTAATCTCTTTTAGCATAATCAGATGTCTCGAGTTTTGATAGGTGTAGTAGTCATAGTTGGCTAGTAAAAAAATATGTAAAAAAATATAAAATTTATAAACGTAAATTAAAAAATTATATCATCACATTTACGAATAAGAAATTGAACTTCGAAATTCTACAAGACTTTTAAAAAATAAATATTTATTTAATAATATATTACAGCATTATTATATAGAATCTCAACTATTATCAACTTGTCCTCCAATCGGAAGACATTTTTCCTTTAATTATTGCTAAGCACCTTTAATGTTTCTTGATAGTATCAGAAAATTGCTTTGGAATTCTTAGTACAAATTTGTTGACTATATTGTCTAAAATGATTTTTCAATTTTGTTGCTTCCATTTTTTTTTTTCTTTCCATGCTCCCCAATCAACACTTGCCTACTTAATTTTCCTTTCACCTAATCTTTCGTCATTTTCACTTTCAAAGTTTTAGCAATATATGTTCATAAAATCTTGTTATCTACTTTGGTACGTATTTATTAAATTATTATTATTATTATTATTATTATTAAAATGTTGTATATGACCATGTTTTAAACACCTGATTAATGTATTTTATATTTACTAAAATTATATTTGTCTCGAAGACTTTTGTTAAGGAAAGAAATCACAGAAATCACATGTTAAGGAAAGAAATCACAAGTGTTGAATATTAGGAAAGTTAGACAACTTTCCTAATATTCAACACTTGTGATTTATTTCCTTAACATGTGATTTCTTTCCTTAACAAATTTACATTTTATGATTTCATTGAGCATACGATCTTAAATAGCACTATATAAAATTTCTATAATTTTAACATTTTCACGTAATGCAATAATTATGTTTATGAAATTTAACCGTTCTTTTATTTTTCATCAACTAAAAGTAGTACCCAAAAAATATAATGACAATAATACTCACAGCATAAATGAAATTTAAATCTGAGACATCAGTCATCACAACCTAGCTAAGATGCACGAAAATTCATAGAGATAAATGTTTTCCTGTTTCAAACACACGTTTACGCAACTTAAACTCACTAAAAGCCTTTCTCAAAATATTATGAGATCGTGTTTGTAATCTTACACTTTTGGAGCTTAAATGAAAAAAAAAAAAAAAAAAAAAAAAAAAAAAAAAAAGAAGAAGAAAAAATGATACATGAACTCTGATTCTTTGCCCCAACATCTATACACTTGTATACATCGCTATAATAGATTTGTTTATATATATATATATATATATATATATATATATATATAATACTAATATTTACGTCCTTTTGGTTAAGTCTAATCTTACTAAATTCTAATCATGTCCTTATTTAATTCAAGATCAACGCATATATTGATATACACATAGTTAATTACTTCCGATTATGAAACTAAAAAATCAATTTGTATCTATACATATTTTTTAAAAATATTTATAAATATATTATTATGTTTTATATTTACACGTTTCTCCCTATTTCATTACTTGGCATTTTTAAAAATTATAGTTTTGGTGTTTTATGTTCCCTTTAGTGCTACCTAATTACCTTTAAGGCACCACCACATGGGGGTGCAAAAGGACTACCAAAGGAAGAATTTTTGGAAAAAATGGTCCAAATTATATTATTATTATAAAAATATAAAAATAAGAAAAGAATGTTACTATAACTTATAAGTAAAAAAAAAAAAAAAAAGTACTATAAAAAGTAAAAGAAAAAATGGAGTGTAATGGGGCGCACTGAACTCGGGGCGCTGGGGGTTGCAGAACAAGAATCGCTGAGACCGATCGACCGACGCAACTTTCCGCCGCCCCACGTTGATACCCAGAATCCCAGAGCGGAAGAGCTACCCTTTGCCATCATCATCCGCCATGGATTTGCGGATTCTACTCGCAAAGTCTCTAGCTTTCCCTCAACTCTGTGTCCTACAATGACGGAGCTCATCTTCCCAATCGCCTTTCTTTCATGGTTCCCCTCTCTCCTTCTCTGTTTTGGGTGTGTGATTAGATCTGGAATGCATCGTTTCTTGATTTTGTTTGCTATACCGACCTGTTATTTATGCTTATTTAAATGGAATCTGAAATGCCCATGTGTTGAATTTATGCTCATTTTTGCGTGTACTGATTGCTGATTGAATTGGTCCCCAGGATCTGTAATTAAAGATTTTTAGTTTCGGTGTGATTTGTTTAGGTTAATTGCGTGGTCAATTTAACAAATTAGTTGTCTGGGTAATTCTTTATTCTTGGTTTCTTATTTCTTTAATTCTTGTGGAGTTTACTGTTTATATATTTGATGATGAACTCAGATGTGGCAGTTGTAACTAGAATAGATGGTGAGAGTAAGTAAACTGCAGGTAGATGGTCATATGATGTTATAATTATGAGTATTTGGTTCTGAATGATGCAGAAATATAGGGGTACACCGAATAGAGAGACCTCGGTTCAAATGGGGGAGTTTGATGGTGGTGCGACGTACACTGTGATAGATGAAGTTCCATCTTCTCCGAGGGCGAATAGTGCCCGGAAAGTTTCAGTCTTGCCCCTCGTTTTTCTCATCTTCTATGAAGTGTCGGGAGGGCCGTTTGGTGTTGAGGATAGTGTTCATGCTGCTGGTCCCCTTCTTGCTCTTGTTGGATTCTTGGTGTTCCCGTTTATATGGAGTGTTCCCGAGGCGCTGATAACTGCTGAGATGGGTACGATGTTTCCGGAAAACGGTGGTTATGTGGTTTGGGTTTCTTCGGCTCTGGGCCCGTATTGGGGGTTTCAGCAAGGTTGGATGAAATGGCTAAGTGGGGTGATTGATAATGCGCTCTATCCTGTTCTATTCCTGGATTATCTGAAATCCGATATCCCGGCGTTAGGCGGTGGGTTTCCGAGAATGATAGCGGTTTTAGCCTTGACTTTGGTCCTCACTTATATGAACTATAGGGGTATGACGATTGTGGGATGGGTTGCGGTTCTGTTGGGGATTTTCTCAATTTTGCCGTTTGTGGTGATGGGGCTCATTTCTATTCCGAAGTTGAAGCCCGAGAGATGGTTAGTGGTGGATGTGCACAATATCGATTGGAATCTGTATCTGAACACGATCTTTTGGAATCTGAATTATTGGGATTCGATAAGTACGTTAGCGGGAGAAGTACACAACCCGAACAGAACTCTGCCCAAGGCTCTATTTTACGCTTTGATTTTGGTCGTTTTGGGGTACTTCTTCCCGCTCCTTACTGGCACTGGTGCCATCCCGCTCCAGCGTGATTTGTGGACCGACGGGTACTTTTCCGACATCGCGAAAATCCTCGGTGGGGCGTGGCTAAGTTGGTGGGTTCAAGGGGCTGCTGCAATGTCGAACATGGGGATGTTTGTAGCCGAGATGAGTAGCGACTCGTTTCAACTTCTTGGAATGGCCGAGAGGGGCATGCTTCCCGAATTTTTCGCGAAGAGGTCTCGCCATGGAACCCCGCTAATCGGGATTCTCTTCTCGGCATCGGGTGTTATTTTACTATCCTGGCTGAGCTTTCAGGAGATCGTGGCAGCCGAAAACTTCCTGTATTGTTTTGGAATGATTTTGGAGTTTATAGCATTCGTATGGCTTAGGATCAAGAGCCCAGACGCCCCACGACCATACAAGATACCCGTTGGCACAATCGGAGCCGTTCTAATGTGTGTTCCCCCGACCATACTGATAGGCGTGGTGTTGGCCTTCTCATCCCTCAAAGTCCTCGTCATAAGCCTCGGAGCCATCGCGATCGGGCTCGTAATGCAACCGGGCATCAGGCATGTCGAGAAGAAGAGATGGCTGAAATTCTCTGTAAGCTCCGATCTTCCTGATATCGATCACACCACTCGTGAGAGCGCTGCATCGTTAATCTGAAATCACGGTTTCTTGGACGATAACATCATCATCCCCCTAGCAAAGTGCGTGATTTTGTAATGCAGGAAACAGGAAATCCAGCACTGCAGTGCATATAGTTATCTCCACACATAAAGCTGAAGTGTTGTAGAAAGGATTAGAGTCATCTTTTATCCAATAAAAGGATGTAACTGTAACACCTAAATCCTGAAAGTTATGCTATCTTTAGATTCTCTGCTCCTCTGATGGTTTAGGGGGGATTGTGGTCTGTGTTTATCCACCAAAATTTTCCCAGTGATCATGCTTGTTCTTCTATCTCTCTCTCTGCATATTTGCAAATTGCAATCTCTTTATATAGTTCAACAGTCTCTTGAAATTGCAATGACAAAATTTTCATGAGTTTTTTTTTTTTTTTTTTTTTTTTTTTTTTTTTTTTTAAATTTTCACTTTTGGTCCACGACTATTGGACCAATTCGACACTTCGTCCTTGAGTATTAATTTTTCTACATTTTGTCTCATGACATTTAAAACTGTCAGATTTGGACCTCCGACCTAATTTTTAGTTACCCAAGACAATATTTTGAATAAAAAATGTCATAAAAAATTACAACTTTGTCCTTCAAGATAAGTCACGTAAAATTTTATTTTTTGAAATTTATTTTATTTAAAATTATTAAAATATAAATTTAGAAATTAATTTTTTTTTAATCTAGTAACAGCCACATTAGTCATTTTTAGGTTCAATAATACCGCCCGGCTTCAACAGTCTCATGATTGCTGCAATGCTAAAAAGGAACAAACCTTCCGTTGCCGGGAATCGAACCCGGGTCTTTCGGGTGAGAGCCGAATATCCTAACCAACTAGACTACAACGGATTGGTGATAATAATGAGCTTGGTTATTTATTTAATGTAAAATCTGCACATGAAGACTTTGAGTAGGCTGTAAGCATGTAATCAATACATTATTTTCTTAATATATATAATGCCAGTTATTACCTTTTTAGAATGATAACATTGTGAGAAAAAAAATGTAACTAAAATTCTAAATAGTTTTCAATATGGTAATTGAATAATTGAATAAAGGAATGGAAGAAATTAACTATAGCAAAAAAAACATTTCCAATAATATAATGTAATTACAACATTTAGTCTAGGAAGGGTTTCAATCAAAAGATTAAAGATTACCATGCATATATAATTATATACAGTGATCCAATAGGGTAGCTCAAGTGGCAAATGAGCTCTCTTTGTGGGGCAGAGAATTTTGGGATAACTCGGGTTCAATTCCCACAAGTGACGATTCCCTTTGGGTCAGCTTCTGTGTCTCTCGGAGCGAACTGGGTGAACCTGGACCGTTAAACGGACAGAGAAGGACTCGGACCACAATGTGTGGTTTCCACCAAAAAAAAATATAATTATATACAGTCTCCATAAACCCTATTCCTTCCCTCACTCCAATACATACATCTATAAAAATCTCTGCAGCCCCTCTTCAAGAATCAATGGCTAAAAACACTACAATATTGCCATTTTTAATTATGCTTTTGGTGCTGTTTGATGTAACAATAGGAACTCAAATTTTAAGAGTTGGAGATTACTTTGGTTTGAACAATAGTACCAAGATTGATTCCTCAAAATGGTCCATCTCAAAAGATTTTCAAGTCCGCGATGTTCTTAGTAAGCCATATATGCATGCAAATTCTCTTTATTGTCGTGGGCAACCCAGTCAAATTGATCAGGTTGTTATTGACTTGCTAATCATATGGTTACAAGTTTGATTCCTAAAAGCGACATGTTCACTTTCTTGATTTGAGCTAGTAAAGAAAAAACAATCAAGTTTTTATTGACTTGCTAACCACAAAGTTACAAGTTACTTTCAAGTTTCAGCTAGAGGCCTATTGACTTGGATCAGTTAAAGGCAATCAAGTTTACTCATTATAGTTTTTTTGCGGGCTAGGGTTTGAGAGTAGATTTACCCACTACACACCCTCATGGAGCCTTCAGCCCCGTCTCCGCCTTCGTCACCAGCACCTTCGGCTATGGCTCCTGCTCCGACCCCGTTTCAAACTAATCCGCCTGCGCCACCTCAAAATAATCTGTCGTCCAGTCCATCTCCGACGGGTCTCCTTATTGAATCTCCGTCAAGCGGTAAACTCAGTACTGATCAGTCGCCGTCAAATTCTCCCGTCAACAAGAATAGTGGCTCGGTTGCGATACCGGTGAACATATGGGTAGCAATGGTGGCCGAAGCCAATCATTATTGCATGAACCATGGTCCACACAATTGTGAGGACCATAAATAAAAGATACATTTTTGATATACTAAGAGTACATTATTTATGTATGTAAGGTACATTTTTAAAGTACACTCTTAATATATTAAGGGTACATTATTTTATATAATATACCTTCAGTACAAAAATAATGTACCTTCAGTACAAAAATAATGTACTTTTAATATATAAAAAATGTACCTGATATTCATGGTGCATACAATTGTGTGGACCATAGTCCACACAGTAATTTGCCGGCCGCAGTGGTTTCTGTGTTAGCTAACGGGGCCTAAATCAATTGTTTTTAAGTATTTGCAATTTATTTAGGCCCCGTTAGCTAATACAGATATCGCTACGGCCACCATTGCCACCCATATATTCACCGGTACGACAACCGAGCCACTATTCTCGTCGGCGGGAGAATTTGACGACGACTTATTAGGACTGAGTTTATTTGACCACTATTAGTTGTTTGACTTATCTTTATAAAAAATATTAATTGTTTGACTTGGTTAAGCAATCACTATGAGTATTTGATTAATTAGTTTTTTTTTTGTAACAACTTATTGCTCCAAAATGCTAAAATTCAAAAAACTTCTCAAAGTAGCTTTTTTTAATCAGTTTTTTTTTTTTTTTTTTTTTTTATAAAGTGCATGTAATCCTCTATCAGCTAACAATTAATTTACCAAACACTTTTCTACAATCAGCTAGTGATATCAACTAGTCAAATACACTAATTCAATAATCAGCTAACAACTATTTACCAAACACTCCATTAGTCTGATTTATTATAATCAGTATTTAGCAATAAATATTGACTGCTAACTATTATGAATGCATTATTAATTTGATGTATATTACACCTTTCTAATATTTTCATTATCTCTTTACTATTGAATTTATTTAGTGGTAATCTGTTATAATTTTATGAAATGAAATATATATTAGAGAAATATAATAATCGGTTTTGTCCCATTTTTAGAAATTTTTAATACATTATTAGTAATTTAGTATGATTGTCACGTTTTGAGTTTGATTTGTCCAAATTATCGAAATCCATATTACTAAAATCATTAAAAATAAAATTATAGATATCATTATTCTTGATCGAGTAGTGTCAATTCTTACCACTTTTATGTGCATATTTGACATCAAATAAATATGCTTTTGTGTTAATTGAAAATTAAGTACATGCTAAATTTTTTTCAAAAAAAAAAAAAAAAAAAGAAGTGCTAGTTTGATTATTTTGTGTCATTAAAGTGATTTTGATGATTATAAATAAAGGAAATGAAGAATATTTTTATGATAATAATAATACATTTCATTATTATAATTTATATTTGTATATAGATCCAAATATTTTTAAAATTTTATAACAAATCTATTCCGTGCAATGCACGTGTGAAAATACTAGTAATAATAATAATAGTTGTTTTTGTAAACATTATATATATTAATCATAGTTATTTTTGAAAACATTATTAGTATGACTGTCACTATGGTATTTATAATTTCATTACTGAGTAATTTATAAACTAAATTAGAGAAACATAATAATTGGTACGATTATTTTCTAAAATTTTCTAAGAGATAACTGTACTTTTGACTTCTTCAAAATAAGTGAGAATGTAAAAGACAACATAAAGTACAGTTTTGCACCTCGTTTTCTGCTATACACATCAGATAAACATAGTAGAGGATACAATACCATTTCTAGAATTCTCTAATACATTATTAGCACAAATATCACTCTAATTTTTATACTTTTATTAATTTTTTTACTAAATTAAAGAAACTTAGCAATAGGTACACTATGGTATCTTTTCTTGAATTTCCTAAGAGTCAATTGCACTTTTGACTTACCTATCTAGGGTGCTGCACCTCATTTTATTCTATATACATTATAAAAATATAGTATTAGATCCCATACTTTTCCTAGAATTATTTTTAATACATTATTAAATTGACAGCTGCGTTAATAATGGATAAAAATTCTAAAAAATGAATAGGATATGATGCACTACTATACTTTTTTAAAATGTATATAGTTGTCACTATAACGTATATTTTTTTTCAAAATTTTTAATACACGATTAACACAGCTGTCATTGTAATATTTACAATTCTATTAATTTTTTTTACTAAATTAGCGAAACATATTATTAGACACATTACAAAATCTTTTATGGAATTTTCTAATTACAAATTGTGAATTTGACTTACCTAGGGTGTTGCACCTGTTTTTTGCTATATATTTATGTTTTTGCTACTCTTCTAAATCACACAAACAAAATCTTTTTTTTTTCTTTTGTTAAAATCAGCTTTGTTAGGGGTGATTGTGGTCTGTTTATCCACCAAAATTTCGTAGTGATGATGCTTGTTCTTCAATCTCTCTCTGCATATTTTTGCAAGCTCTTATATAGTTCAATAATCTCTTGAAATTGCAATGATAAAATTTTCATTCACTTTTGGTCCACGACTATTGGACCAATCCCACACTTGGTCCCTGAGTATTAGTTTTTCTACATTTTGTCTCATGACATATAAAATCTTATCACATTTGGACCTCCGGCCTAATTTTCAGTTATCTGGGGACTAAATTTTTTGAATGAAAAATGTCATAGAAAATTACAACTCTATCCTTTAAGATAATTCACATAATTATTATTTTTTTTTTTTAAAAATATTTTATTTATAATTATTAAAATATAAATTTTAATTTTTTTTTTTAATGTGGTCTTATTCCATTTGTTTATTTATTAAACTGGAAAAAACATATCGACAATGGAAAAAGAAAACGGAAAGCATTTACTGCTGGCCCTGAAAATAACACCTCAATTTCCGACCAACTAGACTACAATGGATTGATGACAATAGCAAGCTTGATTAATTATTTAACGGTCAAAATCTGCACACTTAATACTGATGATTGTATTAAAGGCACTATGGAGAAAATGGGGTGTGAGGCGGCGCTATTGCATGATGATAATAATGGGAACAAGAAAATGATATAATAAGAGATTTAATTTGTAAATATGGCA